ACGTGTTCGTGCGCGAGACCGGATATCATGGGCTCGACTTCCGTGTGCAGGATCGAGGATGCGCACTACTGGAGAGTGTCGTACCTGGGCGAGACGGCCGTCCAGTGTCTCTAAGTTTTCAATTGTGGTTTAGCTTAGATTGACTCATGAATCCAACTTTTAGATTAATTTATCTACCTGAATAAGTATGATAAATCAGTTCCAAGAGAAACATATTTTTCAAATGATTTAAGTGGCTTAAAATAATATTTATAGGGTTTTTGGCATAATTATAGCTTGTATAGGCAACATAGACTTCGAAAAATACTCTACTGTATAATTTATTTCATTCATCTTATAATATCTTATAGGAATCGAATATCTTGAGTTTGTGGTACGTAAATGAATAGACACTTAATAGTATATTCGAAGAAAAAATCTGGTGAAAAAGGTTTTTCTTCCATAGAAAAATATATATGAATGTAGTGAGTGTTTTAGATATCTTAACAATTTATTTTGACCATGCAATTTCCTAACTCTATAATAACTAATCAAAACATCAATTAGCATTGAACAAGTGAGTGATTTTACCTTTGCAAACAAAATTAATTCAATTTGTTAATGGGCACACTATTTCTCAAGCTTCTGTGAAGAACTGCTCGAAAACAACTCATACAAATATGAAACTGCACTTAGGGAAATTGAAAAATAGTATACTCACCCAATGCAAATAAGAAGCTCGAATATCTTGCAACATTGCAAGATATGTCAGCAGAATACATGAGAAGAAACATGAACGTCTGGATAACAATGACGGGACCCAAGTGTCTGGAAGTATCCTACTTTTTACATAAAGCTTTGATGAATTAATATTGTGAGGATATTTTTCTCCTGAACAGTTGTGGTATATCCTTTCAGCACCGTCCGGCTAGAACAAATAATTGTCAGAAATATTGAAAAAAATGATATTTGGGAAACAAATTTGAAATAAGTATAAGTGGTTTAAGTCTACCATCCCAAGACTCTTTCACGGTCATTATATGGATGGTATCCTCTTGCTGTAAGACTAGTCGCGATGACGTAGATGCATCCATTCGCTATCATCCTCCAAATATGGAGGCTTTATTATTTAATGCTTTTCATCCCTTTTCTATCTTTCCATGAGCACATGTCAGTAAAGTGTAAATAGAATTCCGATCCATAAATGATGAACAATGATACATTTCGTCTGTATCTGATAACTGTTCACGAGACTGTGTAATTGATACCATCCATAAAAAAAAATTGAGATCAAAAGATAATAAAACTGACCGGAAAACAAAGGGATTTTGAGCTAACTACCATTAACTCTTGCATTCCATTTTATATCCTATGATATCATTCTTTGTTTTCCAACAGTGCTTTATATTCGCACCATGAACCTTTCTCTTATTTCTTCACCTTCTACTTATACCACCACTATTGATTATTCGAGTTCACATAATGCTAACTCAAGTCTCCTGAAATCAAGCATTAAACTACGTATTGTGGCTTTAAATGTCCGAACCCTATGTCGAATCTGGCAACAGGTGTCACTAAGACCCAAGAATCTTTTGCTAACGATGTAAGGATCTTGTGAATTTGTTAGCTCATTGTCTGAGCCACTTGGTTTTGACCTATACGATAAACACAATCAGAAATTAGAGACTTTATGTGAGTTGTCTCAGAATCATCCGCAATGGCGTAGATGTATTTACTCTTCATTATGTTACATCCATCACATCCTGCTAATGTGGTATGAAAACTTGAGTTAATCCAAACCCGTACCGGACTCCATGTTGGTGATGACCAACTGACTGTTTTATGTACATCTAGTTTATATTAATAATGGTACTATTGTTTAAGCTTTCTCTGTACTAAACTAGTATACACTAATTTTAGATCCTACGTCGTCAGAATAGCTTAAACAATAATCGTACAAAGTTTGAAGTAATGACTCACCAGGAATGTATAACAACACAGCAAATACAACTGTAGAAACTGGAGTAGTTTCCAAATTATGTTCATAGTAAAACCTTAAATGAAAATATGATTTAAACTTGTTAGAGAAAACATACGACCGAACTTACAAGTAGATTTGAGTGATTATCCGGCCATGCTGAAGCATCACTAACCAAATAAACATTCAGTGAATCTTGAGAAAAAATGCATTTCGAAGAATTTAATCTAGATACTACTGAGGAGTTATGTTTTTCTTGACACAGTTCGTTCTGATCCGGCCACGAATAGCACGTTGAACAATAATTATGTGTGATAAGAGGAGGTTTATAAATCAATGATTCAGGGTAATTTCCGATTGATGTAGACGTGCCCTGAGTACATTAAAAAGAGAATTCGCAGAATCCGAATATTTAGAAATAAAGTGATTTTAATAACAGAAGTAATTTTGATGAAATCGATCTATGATGCAAAATCTAATTTAAGCACTTGTCACAACTACTACAATTAGTTGACATAACTATAACACCGGTCCTGATGTTTCAGGTGAAAGATATGTCACCAAAATACTATCTATAAAAAATGGTATCCAAGACACATCGAATAATTATTTCACTATAACTATATACTTCTCAGGTAGGTTTAAATCGACAATATTACATGATATCAATATTATAGCACAAATGTGGAAGGTTGTGATCTGGTTCAATGGATGGATGGTATAGCACTGAAGTTTCATTTTGATGGTAAATGTCTACTACTGATAAATCTTAAACTGGTATTGGAATTTGAAGTTAATACGAACCCTAAATGAAAACTATCCAAACTTAAAGATATACCAGACATTATGAAGAGGTTATTTTGCAATCCTAGGACTCATCATTTAGCAGGACTACTGACAGGATCGAACTCTTCAAAATTTTCTTGATTTCATTTACACTAGAAAAACCGCGAAAGTTTCTATTCATGGAAAAGTGAAAATACGTTTAATAATAATACCTTGGGTAACGTGCAAAAGGAAAAATCACCGGAATTAGTAGAAGGTTTGAAAGAACAGGACATGATTTTAACTTGTGCATCTGGATTAGCCCACGCAATTCGTAAATGTCCAGTATTTGGAGAAACACCAACATGAATCCTTCCAATCGGCAAACCAGTCGAAGTGAAACAAGAGCCGTCACAAAGATCTGCGTTATTGGAACAAGAATTCTCGTCAAATGAACTTAAACATGGAGGTACGAAATGGGAAGTGCACCGACATGAAGTCTTCTGAAATTTCAAAGAATTTCTCTTACTTCTTATTGGGATGGGGGATTCTTGAGCAAAAGATATATCGAGATTAAGAGGTAGCACGTGCGAATGAATACTGCAGGTGGATTTATTAGATAAACGATCATGAGCAGATGATGCCTCGAAACAGATATCACAATCTAAATCTGGCATAAGACCAAACGCAGCAACAAACCCACTGCCGTCATTCTAGATATTAAAAACAGGGAGAAAGAAATGCTGCATAGAAAATATTTATCACGTTAGAGTTTCTTTCAATGCTGTTCTGAACTTGTACGTAGTGAAAACTTTTAACACCTATCGAGACAAGGCATCTTATGGCGACCAACATTAAACGAGAAACTGCAGTTATTTGTTGCTTTGTGTAAAATCAAACACTTAAATACGAAACATATTTGACGTCGCCAAAGTGAAAAAGTAAGCTTGTCCAGCTACATGGATCGACTTTATAAAAGTTGTTGACAAGAAAATATTAACATTTTAATTACCTTCTAAGCACACTACATTCCCAAGACCTAAGCCCTCCTATTAAAAAAAATTCGTTGTTTACTTCGAAATCCTTTCAATTATCTGCATGCTTTTCCTGTGTTGTTGTAGGCTGTAGTAGAGGTGACTATTAAAGCACATGTTTCCTTTTTGACGAACAAAATGATATTATGAACAGCTTTGGCGGTGGCACACCATAAGAGTCAAGCTAGGGTTTTGAATGCATATTTAGATTTCCTAACTTATAAAATCAGTGTGTATGAAACCTCCCAGAATAATACACACACACAACAATTAGATTAGGCACTAATACAGGCCAACTCCTAGGAAACATTCACTTTCACAGGGATAAAACCATATCAAATAAACTTTCATTGTTATTAACGACGTTTAGAAGAATAGATTTAACCACGAACTTCGGTAATTAGATGTATCATTTATATACCTCACGATCGAAAAAAACCTCCAAATAGGGAAACAATCCCTGAAATAACTCAAGGTGTCTAACTACAAACCAAAATACAGGTCGCATAAAGTAGATAGGCCCAAAGGACATAAATTTAGGTAATAACTTTCTGTAACCTATGCCCTAAGAAGTGTCCATGTAAAGGCCAATAACTATGAGAGAAGACCTGTAGCGATTAAAATAAAAAGCCACTACTGGATAAGATGAGCATAAATCACTATGGGTGAATCCCTGTCTTAGTTTAAAAACTGAAAAGATTACATCAGCTGTGAGAGTGCTTACGTTGCATGCAAGAAGTAAAAAGGAGTTGGAAACCGCAAGGGACTGTACAAATCTAACACACGGGACGTTATGAAGGTCTGGGCAGTAACTTGTTCTTAAGAATTTTCTCTCACTATATAGAGCAAGCTTCGGGCCAAGATTTCCGGTAGAACGTGGTGGAAAGAGCCAAAACTTAATTACGTGGTGTTTGAAATCATTTTTGTATGAAACCAAGAAGCAACCGTCTGCTGAAAAACCAAGAAATATATCATCTAATGCATCCTGAGGCAATATCTGTCGTAAGTGATAAGGTTTCAGCACACAACTAAGATCCATAGATGGAACACTGTGAATTGAAGTTAGTTCTCTGTTCTGAAGCCATCTGATCATTATTCAACCTAAAATCGTCAAAATATTACGAATGGATATCAATATAAGAAAAACAAAAAGGTGGAAAGTTTTCAACAATCATTTATTCGACTAAAATTAACATCATGCGCAATGTTACTGCGAAAACTAGTCCGGATATTGTTCATTATAATTAGAAGTCGATACAACGTCCTTTACGTTCCCAATCCCCATATCGCGTTGGTTCTGGGCCACGAGGTCCTCCTCTCTCACCGCTTTCGGGATGTACATAATCTGAGGGGCTCTCGGACATATCTTTGTTTGAAATATTCCCTTCACTTTTTTGGGAGTCAGAAGTATTCAAGTCTCCTGTTAATAAGGATAAATAAAGTCTATTATACCAACGTGTCACAGCCCCTTTAGTGAGGTAACGTCTTCCAAATAAAGATTTGGGTTTAAAGCCAGAATTTCGAAAACACAGATGACCAAAGTACTTATGATAATTCATTGGGTTCAAGCAAGATCTATACAATTTAGTTGCAAATCGAACAAATAAAAATGTGGTTAATATAGCCAAACAAGACAAAAACATCACCTTATAGGAAAAAACACCTAATACATATGCAGAGAAGACATGACATTCTTAAAGCTACATTAAATCACAGTGTTGACAAATGTCCCGACAAGGTCACCAAGTTCTGTCCCTTAGACAAGGTCATACCTTCAGTTTCAGTAACGATCCTTTGTCGCAGCTAGTAAGTTATATAAATTAACTTCCATAATTCGGATATCCCAGGAAATAACGGATTTTACGATTCCATACAACAAGGTAACATAGTCCTAACTACTTTTTCTCAAATATCCGAACCAGTATGCTAGTAAGACCAACAGGTAGTTATGAAGGATCTATCTTTACATGCCTTAATTTAAAGCTAATAATTCGATCTTTTCAATCCCTAAGAAGCTGTTTTTGGAAAATTCGCGTATTGAACAGTATCGTGAGTGGTTCTGAAATACTGTCCTTGAGTTATGACAGCAATCATGTATGTAATTCATATGGGCCGGATGACGGACTAGGTCTAAGGTTAATGAGAGAGTGAAGACCAACTTCCTCATTCACAATCACTGATCTTATAGCTTGTATTTTAGTAGTGTGGTTATTGGAAGAGTTGATAACTACCTGAAGAGTAGACATAGTTTTCGAGCGGAACTAATAAACAGTAATCCCGTCAACACCTTCATTGAATTGTAGAACAGATATGCGTAATAATCTGATCCTAGCTCTAGATTACATGGTACCATCAGATTCAAAACAGGTGTAGAATGTCCATCGGTAAAATCTACAGCATATTTCAACATACATGTCCTAGTAAACAATACAAAGAATCTAACCAAGACCTTTGCGGTTATCTCAAAGATATTGCATTTCAAGTATTGCTTTATGTCTGAGATTAATGTGCTGCAATTAAACTGTGCCATCAACATCTCATGGACTTCTTATCTACTACGTCCTTAAGAGGCAAGTCCACAAGTGACCTTTTCAATTGTGTATTATTTACCATTACTTCTCAGTGCATGCCGTTTGGGATTACTGACTTCCGTTGCTACTATGTGAACTGGTTGTCGTCGTCCCATCTCAGTGAAATTGAAATGCATTCCCTGTTCCCTGGGAACGTTTTCTATGAAAAACAACATTTATTGTTCCCCCATTCTAAATCGCTGGGTTTTTCTACGCGTTAAGTATTGAACATCTATTTTCCCAGTTGTCTCGTGTTCAGCTTTGACGATTGTGTGGTTAGGGCCTAATCCCACTACAGATATATCTAATGCATAATGCGTTATAAAAGGGTCTGATAATCTGCGAAGTTCAATTCCTCCAGTTGCATCCAACCTGTCAATTGTATTTCGTTCCTCCCGTGAACTGTGGGGGTTTTCGTAATCCAGCAAACCACCAGAGGAAAAAGAAAGATAGTAAGCAGCTTTGTTTGACTTCAGTCTTCACATGGAATACATCAATCAGTCGTCCTCCACGCATGACTTTATACTGTAGTCCGTCGTATGAATTCCGGGTGATTTTTAACCTCAACAAATGTAAAGTCACGCATTTTGGATAACATCCATAGGATTCACAGCTTTACTTAAGTAAAAGTAGAGCTCAAACACCTAAATCAGTACACGATCTAGGAATTAATTACACAGGAAGCCTGAACTTTGAAGAACATGCCTCATTGATTATTTCCAAATTTAGACAGTTAATTGGCTTCATAGTGAGAAATTTCTTCACAACAGAAGCTAAGCTTACTCTTTACAAAATATGTATACTGCCTTCTCTTAAACATTGCTCATCTATCCTCGCAAACATGAATACCACAAAAAAGATAAGAGTAGATGTCCAAAGACGCTTCACACGTCGACTGCTAGAATGTGACTGCGCTTCCAACTACACAGGTAGGTGTAGGCACATCTCTCTAAAACCTTTATGGTATCGTCGGCTAAGGAACAATCTAATATTTCTATACAAAGCAATATATGGACTCTCATTTCTAACTTCCTGCCGAGCCATGATCCATAACCCAGTCTATAGACTTGAAACACCGAAAACCATTGCGTTGGAAGTTTTTTACAGTGCGGTATAGTTTGTTATGGAACAGGTCGCCAATACCAATCAGTAACTTTGACTCATCAAGTTCAAATAATAACACTATTTATGACACTAAAGAGCTTCACCAACCATTTCATGAACTTCTGCACATCAATGAGGCATTTTGTTATGGACCGCCTAATATCTAGATCGATCATAAATATAACAGACTCCAATTATCATTAATATGAATATAACCAGATGATAGAACACATAGTTTTCCCTCCAATGGTTACAGCTGTATTATTCTTCCTAAATGTCATGTAATTTGTTTGTATTACAAGTACACAAATAACTCACTGGTCTCATGGATGCTGATCAACTACGGCCGACCATGAGATGCTCGTAATGACCTGGATTCTTGTGAGTCGTTCAATGTTTTGTTCTGTTTTGGTGCTCCGAAAAATTTACAATTCTAAACTCTTTCACATTCTCTGATGTTCTATCTATTCTTAAAATCTCTAAACCACATATAATCTGACCTGTGTTTTTTAACATTTACCATTAGTTGTCTTCATGGCAGTGTGATATGCTAAATGGATATCTAACCCACAATACAGAAGCTTTGACCATCTGCTCGGAACTAGTTGAGACAGTGTGTTCCAACATTAAAGTTCGACGAGCGTAGCACTACAAAAGGAGGGAGGGTGGCATTGCTGATCAGCAAAAATGATGGTGAGGAGGAAACTTCGATCCACTCATTTTTGCAGGGTAGAACATTGTGCTTAATTACGGCTCCTTATGGTCTAACGGAATGTCACGAACAAATGGTATTTCTGAGAATTTATGATACAAAATACCTCTTTATACCGTGTCCGTGACATTGAATTGGTTCCACTTCCTATTACAAACAAAACTGAACAATTTGCTAAAACCGAAGCCTGTCTATGACTCTAAAGTCGATAAAAATAAAAATGAGCTGAATTAGCTTCGACAAAACAGGGAGATAGTCATTTGTGTGTAAGAATACTGTTTTTAGCACTATATTTTAAAATGTCACATAATCCTACACTTTCAGCATCTTTACGAACCACCTCCATTTATACGTTTCTTCGTCCTTTCATAACATATTTGCGGTTGTTTTCTTCAACCTACCAAAATGCTCTTGCTCAAAACGTGCCTTGATAATAAAAAAAATTAAATTAAGTAGACATACATTCACTATTTCACCACAAATGACTAAATTTAAATATGCATGAACATTGTAATGTGAGGTTGCCGTATGTGTGTCAGGATACTGTTTTCAGTAGTTTGTTTCAAAACTACGAATAATCCTATGCTTTCAACTCCTTTTTGGACCATCTTCATTTACACAGTTTTTTATCCACCCATACCTTTTCTGAGCTTGCTTTCTTTAACCTATTAGAATGCTCTTGCTTGAAAAGTACCTCAATAAAAGAGATATGCAACTGTCTACTGAGTCTTTCATCCGGTTCAGTAACACTCTGTCGAAGACGTATCTTGGCGCTGACGGTAGTGTGATACCTCTGTAGTTCTCACATTTTCTTCGATCTCCTTTCTTTAAAACACTGATGAAGTATCCTTCTTTCCAGTCTGTCAGTGGCAATTGTTCTTCCTCCCATATCATCATAGATAGAACGTGAAGCATAGTTGCGATTATTCCTATATCTGAATTCAGTACTTCGGCTGGTGTATTGACAGATTCTGCTGCTTTTCCACTCTTGATTTGTCAGATGTTCATCCTGATTTCTTCCGTCGTTGGTGAAGTGATATCTATAGGAATGTGTGTGTACTGCTTCGATGTCCGGTGGATTCAATGGAGCGGTCTATTCAGAAGTTCCTCAAAGTGCTCAACCCATCTGTTCGTCTATTCTTGAATTTGAGTGACTGGGCTGAATTCTTTGTCCATGACAGCTCTCTGATTAACTATATCTCCCTGCCAGTTTCATTCGTTGTATCATATAGTTGTTTCATATTTCCTTCTTTTGCAGCTCCTTTCGCCATTGTCGCTGGTTCTTCCACGTGTTACTGCTTGTCTGCTTTAATACACTACTTAACTAGCTTTTTTGCTTCGGTGTACTCAGCCTGTGCTTGAACTTTCTCTGCCCGTGTTCGGCTGTTGTTAATTGCTGTTTTGTTGTTCTTTCTTTCTTGATCTTGCCCTGTGTTTCTATAGAGGCCCATTCCTTATGATGATACTTGTTGCAACTCTAAACCTGTAAAGTCGGTTATTATGTTAAGCCCATATACTTTATTCTAGCTTTCGGACAGCCCATTCTATTCATTCTACTTCAGTCACATTTTGACCTTGTTAATTATTCGCTTACCAATCATGAATGTTTTTATATGAAGGCGTAGGTGTATGTACATTTCTTATCCCATTACTCATCACATGTCTGTAACTTACTTTTGTGTGCCTATAAATATTGAATGACGTTTGACTAATGGGTAGTTGGCTTACCTGCCATCTTCACTGCGTGTTGTTTTGCTTCGTTCTATTCCATTCACTTTATATACAAAATATACGTATTAAAAAGTCCATTCTCGTTATTTGACTCATTTAATTCCGTTAATGACAAACGTGATTTAAGTCGATGATTATATACGAGGATATGCACACATATATTCCGATAACAACCATTCATTACGACCTCCTTGGAGACAGATCTCGGACCACTAAAATGGAGAGCCATTTCGACAACATCGTCTGATCTAAATGATGACAAAATAAAGGACCTCACAGCCTCGTATCACGTTGAAGTCAATGTGTCATTGATACCTTTCCAATTATCCTCTTTAGTAGTTTCTTCTTCTTTCAGTAGATCTTATAAGGCTTGAAACGTGTTACTGCAAGTTACCTTGAACTGGTTGAATTTTTCAGTATGTCGAGGAAACACTGTGTTGAACCTTTGTAATACTGTTTCTTCAGTTTTTCGACACTTCTTTAGTCTCAGTTTCGTCTTGTTAACCACCAGCTAGTGGTGATGTGAATAAATACGAGCTTCTCTCCTTGTTCTCACGTCTTCCATTGACCTTGTGACTTTTATACTGATGTAAATATGATCGATCTTGTTCTCTGTAGTGTGATTTTGAGAAATCCATGTAGATTTGTATATGTGTTTGTGGAGAAATATTGTATCGCCTATAACCATTATATTGACAGCACATAAATTTCCAAACCCTTCACCATTCCCACCCCTTCCTTCCAATTCATATTGTCCTATGTTATCTACATAACCGGTGTTGTCCATTCCGACTTTGGCATTTAAGTTTTCGTATATGAATCTTCAGATCTTTCCCTGATCATTTCGCTTTGACTGATCATAGCCTTTAGTAAAACTGATTTTTATCGTGGTCACTGATATTACTATTGAGTGCATAGTAGGGGATAACATTCACTATGATTTCCTTTGTTGTTCTGAGGTTTGATTTGATAATTCTAGACTCACGAGACTTCTACCTAGTAGGTGCATTCGATGCTTGTTTGGAAGGCATCAGAACAGCTCCGTGAGTGTGTAGAGGACTTCCTTCCTCGCGAACCGAGTACAGCAGCATCTCTTTCGAGTTTGACCTTTTCTGTCCAGTATGATTCCATTGTGTTTCTGTGATTCCGAGCTCCATCATGTTATATCTTCCCAGTTCCACAGCTATTTGATCATTCATCCTGGCCTCTCACAATATTCGAACATTCCATGTATCTATATTACTTCTTGCTCCTGTTCTCAGAAGGATAATAAACTTTGTGATTTCCGAAGAATCTCGGCTTTCACCATGAAGTGTCACAATTCTTCTGAAAGATCATTCAACCCAAAGGGCAGAGTTCATTTGGTTCAATTTCATTATTCTGGTAAGCGTGTTTAAGCCAGATTGTTTTTTACTGGATGAAGTTGCTGAAGTCAAGTCCGACTCTCTTCCTTTACCTGGGATCAGAACCGAAATGCTATAAATACCCTAGATTTACTGTACATCAACTAATCTTGGAATAAAGCGTTTATTTCACGTTTCGCTTCTTTTCTCTAGTGTTGAAGTTGTCGTCTAGATTTAGTCTAGGGTTATTAGAGAGCTTGAGAAACAGATTCAGGAGTTCAGTTAGAAGATTTATTACTTTATGTTCGATATATTGACGGGAAACTTGGTCTAACGTGTCCCAAAAATGAGCATTTCGATTATTGCGGAAATATTATCTTTTTTTGAATAAATCATGTTCGATTTCTCGAAGGATGATATTGGACTGTATACAGGAATCAGCGGAGAATATTTTGATAGTTTTTAGTTGAATAACCTGTTACAAAAGTGAGTGTTTCCAGTACTGGGAGTGCGCTTCAATGTGCACACTTAGTCAATTTGAGCAACACAGTTCATGAGTAAGAACTATTCAGCATAACAGACACTATAACCAAGATGCCAAGTATAACGACATGGATTTAGTTCGCGAGAATCTTGTAGATTAAATTGAAAGGTAAAAACTACAGTAAAGAATTAATGGTAACCTAGAATCAAATGATCAACTCAATATATAGCTTCAGGAATGAAAAAGAATAATCTTTCATTCAAAGCAGTATCTTACATTACGAAGTGTGTAATCGAAGGAATTTTCAAATGTGATCCCAAAAGACCTCCGAAAAGACCCTGCACAGATACCCTGATGAATAAAGAGGGTTATGAACAGCGTTAGCAACTCAATCTTCTGAAGAAGAACCATGAGTAAAAGTGCTAAATAAAAAGAATCATTGGAACGTTGATCCAAGCGTTGAAGGGCTTCCATAGAGAAGTGTCATGACATCTCATGACAAGAACCGAGATTCTCTAGAAGTCACTAGATCGATGATTCTTCCGACAATTAAGGCATTAACTAATGTGAAGGTCATTCAAGCAGAAATAATGTTAAGGTACAACATAGTTTAGATGGGATTAAATGAACACATTTGGAAACAATCTAGATAAAATGAATAGCTCAGGCAGGGCGTTTATTGATACAGATGGAACAAGAATGGAGAGAAACTAATAGGTCTGTATGCATACCACAACGTGGTCGTATATGGTTGGATTTTTACCGACAGGTTTATGAGTAGAGTTACGTGGGTAGGGCCGAACAACTTAGGTTCAAGTCGATAACATATGCATCAATGTTCAGAAGGTCCATAGATGACATTAGAACAAAGTGATGGTCATAAGGCTAACAGTGAGACCAAAAAATAGCATGGGATTGGGCGAGCAGCACGACATGAGTTCATTGTTGCCTTCTTTCGGAACGTTAACAAGCTCAACGTAGTTCAAAATTGATCTCAGGTACATTCCCAATCCTCAAACTATCTACCAGAAAACGGAGAGCTCACCATGAAGAACGATTTGATATTGATTAAAGATGGAATAACCTCTAAATTGTACGAGATCCCGGTATCGAAGAAACATCAGATGAAAAAATGGATCTCTACAAATAACCCTTTCATGATTCAAGGGAGGAAACACAGGAACACAAAAGCAGCAAGCAACAGCCAAACAAGAGGAGAAAAGGCCGAATACACAAAAACAAATAAATCAAGAAAAACTTCGGAACTAACATGGGGACGTATATAGAAGACCTAACAACTGCAACAGAAGAGGTTTCGAGAGAACTACAAAATGTAACTCAGGAACTATCAGGAGAGATTAGCAAACCGGAATGATAAGTCAAAGAACAGAAGGTGAACTGGTGTGCTGTTTGTATTTTACACATGGTCTATTTTTATAAATACTATGAATAACAAGCGGGATGAGTTGTCTAGTGTGTTAACTTCATGCAGCACCTGGTTATCCCTCTTTCACATGGTTGCCGGATGACAACTAAGTGCATGAAAGAATACATCCCCACTACACGCCTGTGCTTTTTGTTCCAATGTAGTACTATTTTTATATTAAAGTCCGATATTGACGCTGTCAGACGTGCTCTAGATAATCAGATGGTCGCTTCTACCTTTGATTAGGAAGATAATTTATTGAAAGTTGTGTTACTTTATTATACGATTATCAAAACAAGAAATAAGTCAAACTTCATTGCCTTTAGTCTCGTGGCTTATTCACCAATAATATAACAGAAGTTTGTCCTTCAAGTGCGAACGCACTTTGGTTGGCCTTGGATGCCAATGGATCTAAGTCTCGAGAGAGATTGTATGAAAGGTTACCTTTATAAGTGGACAAATTACTTGAAGGGATATCAAAAAAGATGGTTCGTATTACAAAATGGCTTGTTGTCGTATTACAGGTATCCTTTTTTCCTGATTTTCATTTTTGCCAGGAATCCAGCAGAGATGGCTCATACCTGTCGTGGAACTATCAAACTTGCGGATGCTACTGTTAAGAAAATAGGGACGGTCTATTTAGAAATCTCGAATAGCAGTGCACAAAAATTTCATATAAAGGCTAACTCTGAGAGTGAGCAACTAGCATGGTTGTCAGCCCTTTCTAATTCTAAAACAACTGCAGTGGCTTTACGGAAGCAAGGTAAGACAGGTTGTTGGGTCAGAATTACATTCAAAAATTTTAAATTTGACCAACCATAGATTATCACTCACTTGGGGCAAAACGCTTTTGGCATGTTTAGTTTGTGTTGACGCATCATACGGTGTTAATACTAAATCTTCACCAAGGGTTAAAACTAAGAATGAGGATTTATGTTTACTGAGACTCTACTTATTTAGGCGTATATATGTCTGTGTGTTACCGTGATTCTGAGATTTTATATTGGCGTGAACGTTCTAGGCATTGTTACGTCTACTAAAATATCTATAACGTCAGTATCTGTTTGGTAATAAAGATTCAACTAACTACTCACTATTGCTTTTCCCGTACACTTCGTATGGGTTGAAGGTATGAAAATGATGTATATCAGAGGAGAAAGCCCTATTTCGCCCTCGCTTGACTGTCTGTGTGAAGAAATAAGTTTTAGCCATCAAGTGAAGCTATTTTTTAACTGTGTTCAGCCTTAAGTTTATTGTTTGTAGTTTATGCAAAATGTAAGACCATCTGAGCAGATGTATGCAACACCTAAACGTTTATCACTTAAAGTTCGTTTATTTTTTCATTTATATAATCACAAAAGTCATATTGAATGCATACTAGTATGTGTCCATCGTAAGTCGGTTTCCCCAAATCAGCGAGCGCTTATAGTGTATTTTTCAAATGGTAGCCTTCTTTATGACAACTTTGTTAGTACATGTTATTACTGTATTTTGAGATCACAGCTTTCATGAGTTAGTCCCTAGGTTTTATATATCCCTACTTTGACCTATCTCCAAGATATATGCCTTGTATATTAGTACACACCATGCAGTGGTGATAGGATTTTGCTTTAATAGCATTTGTGTATTGTTCCAACCTTGATGACTTCATTTATTTGAACACAAACATTGGTATAGGGGGTACCACAAAATAACAATGAGGCTAGTAGTAGTTATCATTGATTTGCATAAGGGCCGAAATCCTACCCAGGCGTCCAAGTCGAAGCAGATGGTTTTACTAAGGGACCACTCCCTGAGCCTTTCACCTGGAGGTCTAATCTACAAGGCAGTAGAGAAACGTTAGAGGATGCAGTCCCATGGACCCTCCGTGTCCACCAACTCGGTTAAAGAGCTGGACATTCGCTTTTTGTCCTCTCGATTTTGTGAACAACACCTTCGCCACGAGAAGGCAGTTTGTGCATCCTTTCTATCTTTGTATAAATAACTGTTATAAGATGAATAATCCTGTGGGTACAATTTTATGCAGTCAATCCAAATAAGTCTTCTGGTCATTTTAATTTAGTCATGTTTTATTTTTGGTTTGCAGATTTATGTTAGCTGTCACATGCTTGAATTCAGAGATCTGTCACTATGCATTATGGCTAATGCCTAAAACGAACTTAATCCACTATTTTGCGGCAAGATATTTTTACTCATCTATCCCAGCCTAGAGCTGTGGAAAGTAGTAGTAAATACACAGTTTAGATCGCATGGTGCAACTTAACAACAATGTAATATGACTGTTACCCATTCTGACTACTTGTAAAATATTCCACTATTCACTAACTGAATACTGTTTCAACATGATGTTTCGCCCTTACATAACCATTTGTGCTGGTATTCAGGATTTCTGTGTCTGACCGATTAACCATGCGAATATGCGATTTTCCCTGAAATTTTGAGCGCTAAATATTATTGTGCTTCCCATCTCCGATACAATCATTGTCGTTTGTTATCATCCGTTTTTGTCAAGTTTATATTCCCCGTTAGCTAAATAACTAATTATTCACCCTTTCGCATAATGAGGTGTAGGGTCTCAGCAATTTTAGTTTTCTAACGCAGGAATCTCAAACTTGCTTATTTCATTTCGACGCAACGTAAATTCAGGTGACGTCATTGTGGTATATGATACTACTAAAAACATTCGAAACAAGCTAATTCCTGTCTTCAGTTTTTTCGTTAGAAAATGATTACTCACATCATCCTTGATCACTTTTTGTAGTCAGTGCAATTTAGCATCAAGTTTTGGATTCTCTATTATTGTGTAAGTTGGTACTTTGATAAGGTGACCAGCCTTATCTATTGTGATCACCCACTAAAACCATATGTGAAAAATGCTTGATGGTTTTCGTGCGCCAGACAAATGGATTGAGGACATTGTAGCTTGATATGACGAGCGAGAAAAGTTTCGAACTGATAACCAGAAATTTTGCGTTTCTACATATCGATGGAGGAATTATGGAAGGCTACACGTACAGAGGCTTCAATTCATTTTTTCTCATGAGTTTCTAGCATTGCATTTAACTTTTCAAATACGGGAAGCGGTCAATACTGAAATTTATTGGTCATAAAGTGGTATATGTGACTGTCGGCATGTGAAGAACATCCAGAAAGAAATATTTGTTCAGTGTTAGAAGCTGGGAAATGTTTATAGTTCGGGTAGTTCTTTTACGACTACAATTCATCCTGTTCTTCATCAACCCATTTTATCTCCTTAGATCGTCTTCATCTCTTATCAACCCTTTTCTCTATTCTTAACCTACTGTATACGTAATCAGTGTCCTAGAAAAATTTCGACCTAAGTCTTTAGGAGTTGAACTACCAGGAGGTCCTTTTTTCGACTTGAAGAACGCAGAAGACATTCTTATTTGATGAAGACGCTGACAAAATACAGTTCTGTGATCACCTTAGTTAACAATCTGTTTATCTTTCTAACTGCAGAATGTTGCTTCAGGATTGGTCTTTACCAATAACTAAATTAATGATGGGGCGTAAGGTAGTTGAGCACGTCTGTTCTTATCTTCCTCTAGAATTTAAATTGTCACCTTATAAATACAATTTCTGGTTTTTGGAACCATGTTCTCAATCTTCAGTCATTCTTATCATGGTTTCTGCTAAATTATTTTGACTTCTATTACATTTTATCGTGTTGTTTTCACCACACGGTGATATTGTAGATTGGCTACTTGGGTAAGAGCACATGTGTGCCAGCGTCTAAGTTGATGAGTGACTTTTACTGGAATCACTGTTAACTATTTAAGTTCATGGAATGACATTTTTAGTTTTTCATAATTAATCCTCAAGCGGTATTTTATGACTTTAAATCGGAAAAATCGGACTAACCAAGACTCTGATATCTTATTTTATTAATTTCTGTTGCCTCTTTAAAACCCTCATTCAAAACTCATGTATTTATAGCTTTCCAGCCCGACTATATCAGTTTGGAGTTCCAGCGTGCTTCGCTTTTTTGACATAAGTAGGCTTGATAACGACGTATATTGATATTTCAGGCATAGATGTATCAGAAAGCGGTTAAAGCCATTTTTGCCCTGAATTGTAGTAGTTGGTCGTCTGTGTTTTCCAATTTAACGAGGTTGTATGGATTTGAATAGATCGGGTTGCATGGCATATCTACTTGCAGTCCGTCTGCGTTCTTACTGACTACATTTCTGGCGAAATGAGATATCAGTTCTGTTGAAACTTGTCTTCATGAAATATGAGCACCCAAATGTACGTAGAATGGACAATTTAAATGACCAAATATGTAGGTTAAGTTAAATTGATAGCCACTTAAGTGGAGCTTATAAAATTCCAGCTCAGCAAATTGATAATCATTCGTTGCATCTGTAGTTTCACGTCCCACTTAAAGTGTTGAAAGAAATACTACGTAGTATTTTGGCTTGCAACATTGACCCAACGGTTGAGATTAGTAGCCCATATCTTCGTTAACCTGGGTCATTTGAAGGCCGTCGCTTCTTTTAGAGAATATGTTTAAACCTTGGTGAGAATTCTTTGGGTCTAACTGCAAGTAGATCGAGTGCAACTAGGATACCTCTCCAAATTCTCGGAAGCAGAAATATTGGCAACACAATAATGAAAGAAATAGCTAGGCACTTAACAACTCGTGAACATATTCATTTCAAAATAGCATAATATGATTCCAATTTTATAATAAAAGTAACAGGATTGTCTGTCAATAAACTTAACTGAACCCCAAATGCCCTAGTACGGCCGAGAGTGGGGAGAGTCCGCTCTCCCTCTCGAAATACTCTCACACGGCCGCGCGTATACAGCCTCTGCCAGGTAAGTACTAATTGACTTCTCGTGCCGGGGTTTACAAAAATGAGAGGACGAAAAGCGGATGTCAGGCGCTTTAACCGGATCCCAAACCAATGGTGCACATGGGCTTCAGTATCCTGCGGGAACAAATGGCGTATAGACCAATCGTTAGTCATCGGCTACCATGGGACTGCATCTCCTTACGATGCTCCACTGCCTTGTGGGTTAGACCTTTAGGTCAAATGCTCGGGGTGTGGCCCCCTAAGATAACCACCTGCTTCGGTCTGGACACCCGGGCAGTATCGCAACCCACACGCAAATGATGAACTCTCTATATCTATGGAAACTACTTTTCTCGCTTCGAATAACAATCAAATGATTTAAATGGCTATTATTATTTACCACATTGTTAACCCTCTTTTATACTTATACAGCGGCTTGTCTTTGGTGGAAATTCGACTCTATCTAAACGTTCTCAAGTCACTGTCCGGTTGAAAATTGTATGTTACCACTGAATATGAGTACTGAAGCAGTTTTTCTGAAACCACGTGCACCATTCAAACTGGCTGCCTTCAACGTTCGCACACTTATGCAGGTTGGACCGGCTATGTCTTTGGAAAGTCTTAATATCGATATCTGCTGTCTATCCGAGGCCCGTATTCAAGACTCTGGTGAAGTACTACAAATTCACTCTCCATCTGTCGCTTCAAAAAGCTTGTTGCACGTGCGTTTATCCGGGGATCCTGTGGAATCTTCGTCTGGTCTTGCTGGCGTTGGTGTCGCACTAAGCGCTAGAGCTGAGGCAGCACTAATCGATCGGGTCCCAATTGACAGTCAGTTATGTGCTGTTAGACTAGAAGGTTCCTTCAAAGTGAGGAGAAATCGGCGTGAGAAACGATGTCTTTTCGTCATCTCCGCCTATGCCCCGACAGATTGCAGCCCGAATGCAATGAAGGATGAGTTTTACCACCAGTTATCTGTTCCTCTCCAGAAAGTGCGTTCGACAGATATTGTAGTACTAGCCGGAGACTTGAATGCTCAGGTCGGGCGTCTAGGCACAGAAGAGAGTCGTTTGGGTGGCCAATCGGGACTCGTTGGTTGCAGGTCAGATAACGGGGACCGTCTACTGCAACTGTGCACAGACCACAACCTGTTTCTGGCTAGCACTAACTTTCGGCACAGTCATCGCCGATGTGCCACCTGGCGTCCTCCCTCTGGATCCCAAGCCTGGACTCAGATTGATCACATCGCGATCAGCTTCCGCTGGCGTGGTTGTGTAAAAGACTGCCGCTCCTTTTGGAGTACCTATCTGGACTCTGACCATGCCTTGGTCTGCGCCAATCTTGCCTTACTTTTCAGTGGACAACGAAGTGACCGCCAGCAAAGGATTGATATTAGCAAGCTGGTTGCAACTTCTGTTGCAAATAAGTATCGAACCGAGCTAGACTCTAGGCTAGCTACCACTCCACCGAAAAGTATAGATGAGCATTGGTCGCAATTGCATGACGCCATGAAAATGGCGGGAACAGTCAGTTGTGGGTTTGCGAAACGTCCCGCTTATAAGCACTGGGTTTCTTCAGGTTCCTTACAACTCATTGAAACCCGTCGGTCTACTCTGGGTGACCGTGAGTTTGACCACAAACAAAGGATTTTACGTAAGGAAATTGAGCAAAGCTTGCGTCAGGACCGAGAAGCCTGGTGGTCGGAGCGTGTTAATGAGTTGGAAGCAGCAGCTGCATCTGGTAATTCCCAGAAGCTCTTCCAACTCATCCGAGCCACTCGCAGCAAGATGTGAGCGATACAATCTGCGAGGATGACGGGATGCCAACCACTAACATCCATCGACGTCTTGGACGATGGGCAGAATTCTTCAAAGGGCAGTTCAACTGGCCTGCTGCTCCGACAACATCGGTCAGACCGTCCTGCCATCCATGGCCGGTGACGACTGATCCACTAAATGAGGCGGAAGTCCGCGTGGAACTCCAACTCTTGAAGCGTTACAAATCATCTGGCCCAGATGACTTGCCTCCAGCACTTTTTAAAGATGGTGGTGACTTTCTGACTAAGGAATTGACGACGTTGTTTACAAAGGTTTGGGAGCTAGAGAGTGTACCAACTTCATGGAATGAGTCGATAGTTGTCCCTATTTTTAAAAAGGGTTCACATCGTTCCTGTAGCAACTATCGGTAGATAAGTCTACTTCCGATCGTGTCCAAGCTATTGGATTCCGTCATACTTCGTAGGGTGTTAATAACTCGAGAAAGATTGACTCGCGAGGAGCAGGCTGGGTTTCGTTTTGGTCGAGCATGTATTGATCATATCGTCGACCTCCGCCAAATGTTAGAACACCGTCATATTTATCAAAGACCAACAATCGTAGTGTTTATTGACATCAGGGCTGCCTTCGATTCGTTGGATTGGACTGTTCTCTGGGATTGCCTATTGAAGAAGGGTGTGCCTGAGAAGTCTATTAACATCCTAAAAGCCCTATATACAAACACCTCAAGCAGAGTCAGGGCATACAACCACCTCTCCATTGTTCCATTCGAGCAGTGGGGTTAGGCAGGGTTGCCGAATCTCACCATTCCTCTTCAACTTTGCCATCAATGGCATTCTGGAAACAGCTCTGATCGTGGTGTGGATCTGTTGCCTGAAGAAAAACTTCTTGACCTTGAGTATGCGGATGATATTGTCATAGTATGCGATAATGCCCAAGCCATGCAATCCGCACTTAATCAGTTGGCAACCAGTATCCGTAGGTATGGTATGTGCTTTGCACCTTCGGAGTGCAAAGTACTTCTACAAGACTCGCAGGATTCTAATCCTGTACTTACCCTGGATGATGAGCAGATAGAAGTAGTCGAGAAGTTTGTGTATCTAGGTAGCTGCATAAGTGCTGGTGGTGGTGTGAGTTATGAGATCAATGCACGAATAGTGAAAGCCTTACCGGCTTATGCCAATCTGGGCCATCTTTGGCGCCTTCTTGATGTTAGTCTGGCTGTAAAAGGTCGGATCTACAACGCGTCGGTGAGAGCAGTTTCGCTCTATGCTTATGAACCCTGGCCTCTCCGAGTTTAAGATTTTGGACGACTCTCTGTGTTCGATCATCGTTGTCTCCGAAGGATTACTGACATTCAGTGGCAACACCGTTAGTAATGCAGAGGCTCGACATCATGTGTTCGGGCACAGAGATGATAATTCAGTTGGTGTCACCATCTTGAAACATCGACTTCGGTGGCTTGAACATTTTCTACGAATGTCGTCCCAGAGAATTTCATGTCGTGCATTATTTTCCGACTCTTGGACTGGTTGGGAAAGGAGGAAAGGTGGTCAGTGCATGACATGGTGTTGTGGTATGAAAGAAATCTGCAGAGGACTGGCTTGTGTTGGTCCTTCACGACTCCCTGGCTGGTGTCCGAGAGATGGTGCTACACAGTGGCTAGAGACGTTATCAGATATGGCTCAGAATAGAAGCCAGTGGCGATCCTGCTGTAACCTTTTACTTTCTTTATAAAAAGTGGTTGTCTTCCTTAACTGAAAGATTTCTTCTGATTGTACCTTTCCGTTCCCTCACTATTACTATTATTATTACTACACTACCTTACACCAACCTCTTCGTTATTGTTCTCTTTTTCTTACGCTCCTCACCTTTTTTTCTTTCTCTTTGAATTCTCATTGTGTTTGTGTGGCGCATATATATTGGTGCTCTCTTGTACCAATATTTATGTGTTCAAATAAAAAAATAAAAACTTTACTAAAAACAGTAGACAGTTATCTTAATTGATTAAGTCAACAGCTTAAAGGTTCAGCAGTTATTATATCTTCAAAGAAAGATAGAATATGATTTATAGCTACATAGTTTTGTAAAAATCCGAATGTTGTAATTACTGTAAGTTTCACGTCTTAACAGATTACTAATCAAACAAAGCCAATATTTTGGAATGGGAGTAAAATATTACGTAATTGAGAATTTCACGAGGAGCATCAGTTTTAGGTTTCTAAACGTGTCTAAAACTAACGACAATTTCAGGGCAATAATGTGTGGTCAGCCTTAAGTATAAGTTTCGATTCTATAGCATCGAATTACAGTTATGATATAACATTTTCAAACCCAATTAACCATAAATTTATCAGTTAGTTGATTTGTTTTGGACACTGCGCTAAGTACTTAACAGCTTCAGAAGAAAACACTACCTTCTCTTGTTATTCACAGTGATAAAAACATTTCGTACAGCATATATACAGATTTATTTTGTTATTTAAAGTTCGAGTGTCATCACTGGAAGCAGTTGTATCACGTTATATTTGTTAACTTTTGATCATTGTGGTTTGTATATCTGTGATCATCCACAGTATAATTTATGGATAATTTAAGTGGTGTTAATTCTAATTTTCTCACTGTGCCATAAAAGCATTGATGCAGAAACAAACGTATATAACCAACTAAACAGTTACTAAGTTGTCAACGGACTTGGATTTTCTTGACCATTGTTTTTCTTTGTATATCAATCAATGTTTATAATATTTATATATTACTGAGTAAGATGTATAACTTTCTACACTATGCTAGTCACTACTGGACCTAACTCATGCGTAAACCATGTCTTAAGATTTTTGCAAAGTACACGAACAATTTTATTAAATAGAGATATTAATGTGAAAGTAGTCAGATAGGCTGCAAAGTTGTTACCTTGACGAATTGTAAATATAAATAGCTGCTTGGGTACTTTTAAGTTGTTCCATAGTAACTTTCCCGAAAATTCGGATTCCAATTCAATTCACTATTTTGTTCTCTCACGTAGGTGTTTTGTATTGATTAGATCAGTTTCTAAAAGCTTAAATGTTTTTTAGTAGATGGTAATCATCAGAATACGTGATTCCCACTGCAGTAACTTAATTGTTAATTGTGAGCACATGTTTAATATTCCTACTCCATAGCTCATATATATATTCTCCATTAGTGTGAACTTTACTTCTTAATAATTGTTTGCGGTCAATTTTTTCCATAAATAATTGTAATGGTCATACTATCATTGCGTATAGCGTTCATTTGTTGCTGTAAGTTAATATTTTACCTGTAAACCCTCTGGTTGAACTAAGATTATACAACTTGAAATCTCTAACTCCACTACTGTTGTCGATAATTCATTCAATTAACAAAGCCTCGTTATTCGATAGCATATTTTTTGTGTACATATGGTACGTGATTAAATTACCCATTTATTATTTACTTTCAGGTTATGATTCAGATGCGTATGCTGATGGATATGAAGATGATGATGATTACAAGACATCGTCCACCACTGACGAAAATGGAATTAGGTTTATTAACGATGCGCTTGTAAAACTTGAAGCCCATGTGACTGATCTTGAACGTTATCAGTTGGCAATGAATCGAAAAGGTGAGGAACTTCGGCGTTCTGTCGGTGATGTAGAGTCTGCTCGTGATCCCACTGAATTATTGCAACGTTTTAACTTGGCTCGTGAACGTGCCACGGTTTTCAAGGTCGCTAGTATGGCGATGGTTAATGTAAGTCACTTACATGCCTCAATATCAATATTGTTCATTATTAGACACGACCCTTCGTTGGGAGATAAGTATTTTCACTTGTTCGTGTGGCTAACCATGAATGTAAACTGGTTTGTGGTTTTGTTTATCTAATATCTCCCATTGACTCGGCCCCCAACTGTTGTGAAACTTTTCGTGTGAATTCAAATGAAAATTCTTGTAGGATTGTATTTGTACGTTATGAATTCCTATGTAACACCATTATGTGGAGTAATTATTCTAGAATCAACTATACATGTGGTGGCGGTTAGATTAAAATTTTGTTATACAAAGTATTAAGCTGATCAAATTAATCTATTAAAGCAATGATGTTTTCTAAAACTCATGAGGCTATTTTTGAACTTGTGTGGTATACCTTAACGTGCTCACGGGACTAATCATAAAACAGCCTATATTTTTGCACATATATCATGGCCTTTATGACACATTACTTATGATCTCTGGTCGTCGTGACCACTTATCATAAAGTTTCACATTACTTATGTTCCAGTGTGATGTAAAATCAGATTTTGGCATGTTAATGACCATATTTTCTTAAGTCTAAAATTTCATAACATATATTTCTGTGTGTTGCTCATCAGTATGATGTAGATATGTCAGCACGTTTGCTTATTTCGTTGTCCAGGATTTTCGATGTAGTAATTATTTTTCTGCATGCATAATGTTTCCATAAATTATGTCACCCTCAAGATTCTAGCTTTTTCAGTTTGCATGATACTAAGTTCTTTTGAATTTTTCGAAACTTCATCTAATCTGCTTGATTCGCATATTTATTATGCTTTTGTTCAGTTAATGTTCCAAAGTTTTTAGAAAGTTTTACTATGTACAACTAAGTGTGGTCTAATACACAATATTAGCTTTGAGCACTGTAAATTCGTCAGTCCTTATGTGCCATATTGTATTGTTCGTAGTTTACTTTCGCATACATCGTTTTTTGTCTGCTCTAAGTTTCGTCCAATTTCTTTGCATATCCACGACAATTTAGTGAATAAGGTTTGACAGTCAAAATAAATAAGAATTTTTCAAGACATCTATTTTAGTATTATTTTCTTTTATTTGTCCGTTCTATATCTAATGTGTATTATCTTGATTGTTTTTATGGGGTATTTCAAAAGTTCTTTTATATTTCAGTATGTACATAAAAGCACTGATTTTTGGCATGATCCTATCTCTAGGCTTCGTATAGAAATAAAAATAGAGTTCGTGGTTTGCTGGGTCAAGGCCATTTAAACATACTGGTGTATGTGAATAGTGTAATGATTGTCACAAACTATTATTATACCACAAATGTCTCCGTAAAATTCTACAGTTGAACCAAGTAAAATATAATCTATTCAATTCACAAATACCCTGGTCGATGTTTAGAATTTCGGTCTTTCACATAATGTAGGCATGCCATCGTCGAAAATCGACAGTTTATGCACAACTTGCAAAATAAATATCTGTATATTATCTTATTTTTTAATTTTTTGTTAAGATATGAATTTCATTCTACTTAACTGCGAAATTCCTTACATTTGTATATTGTTAATTAAATCGTACAATAATTTAGTATTAGAACTTACTATCCCGTATGCATCGACAATAAATGTTCATGTCACCTTGGCCGATTAAGTCTTATGATTTCACTGATCGAATTACCATTCTTACTTTAAACCCTACACCTACTTCGGCTCTACTTAATAATGTCACTTACTTACTTCCTTACGCCTGTTACTCCTCGTGAAGGAGCATAGGCCGCTCACCAGCATTCTCCATCCAACCCTGTCCTGGGCAATCCTTTCTAGCTCCGTCCAGTTGTAATTCATCGTTCTCATATCTGCTTCTATTATCCGACGCAATGTGTTCTTTGGCCTTCCTCTTTTTCGCTTCCCTTCAGGATTCCAAGTTAGGGCTTGCCTCGTGATGCAGTTTGATGATTTGCGTAATGTATGTCCTATCCATTTCCATCATCTTTTCCTAATTTCTTCTTCAGCTGGAAGTTGGTTTGTTCTCTCCCACAGAAGGCTATTGCTAATGGTATCCGGCCAATGGATGTTGAGTATCTTGCGTAGACAGCTATTTATAAATACTTGTACTTTCTTGATGATGGTTGTTGTAGTTCTCCAAGTTTCAGCTCCATACAGTAGAACTGCCTTGACGTTGGTATTGAAGATTCTCACTTTGATATTGGTTGAAAGTTGTTTTGAGTTCCATATGTTCTTTAACTGTAGGAATGCTGTCCTTGTTTTGCCAATCCTTGCCTTTACGTCTGCATCTGAACTTCCGTGTTCATCGATGATGCTTCCTAGGTATATGAAGGACTCTACATTTTCCAGAGTTTCGCCATCAAGAGTGATTAGACTGCTGTTCTCCGTGCTGTATTTGAGGACCTTGGTTTTCCCCTTGTGTATGCTGAGGCCTACTGATGCAGAGACTGCTGCTACACTAGCTGTCTTTATCTGTATCTATTCGTGTGTACTGGATAAGAGGGCTAGGTCATCTGCGAAGTCCAAATCGTCTAAATGATTTCGAGCTGTCCATTGTATTCCGTGTTTTCCTTCAGATGTCGAGGTCTTCATAATCCAATCAACCACCAGAAGAAAGAGGAAGATAGAGAGTAAACAGCCTTGTCTGACTCCGAGCCTTACTTGGAATGCATGTGTCAGCTGTCCATTGTGCAATACTTTGCACTGTTGTCCGTCGTATGAGTTCCGGATAATGTTGACAATCTCCTCAGGAACTCTGTAGTGTCGAAGAAGTTTCCATAACGTCTTCCTATCTACACTGTCAAATGTCTTTTCATAATCAATGAAGTTGATGTACAGTGATGAGTTTCACTCAACTGATTGTTCGACGATGATCCGTAGTGTCGCAATTTGGTCTGTGCATGATCGATCCTTATGGAATCCAGCTTGTTGATCTCGAAGTTGGGCGTCTACTGCGTTTTTCATCCGGTTCAGCAACACTCTGTTAAAGAATTTCCCTGGTATTGACAGTAGTGTAATGCCTCTGTAGTTTTCACATTTGCTCAGATCTCCTTTCTTTGGAATCTTGATGAGGTGTCCTTCTTTCCAGTCCATCGGCACTTGTTCCTCCTCTGAAATTTTTTTGAATAGAAGGTGAAGCATGTTTGTAGTTACTTCGATGTCTGACTTCAGTGCTTCAGCTGGTATGTTGTCCGGACCCGCTGCTTTCCCGTTCTTGATTTGTCCGATGGCCATTCTGATTTCTTCCGTCGTTGATGGATTGATATCTATAGGAATGTGTGTGTGTGTACTACTTCGATATCCGGTGGATTCATTGGAGCCGGCCTATTCAGGAGTTGCTTGAAGTATTCTACCCATCTGTTCCGCTGTTGTTGAATTTCGGTGATTGGCTTGCCTTTTTTGTCTTTGACCGGTCTCTCTGGTTTACTGTATTTCCCTGATGGTTTCTTCGTTGTATCGTGAAGCTGTTTCATATTTCCTTCTCTAGCAGCTTTTTCTGCCGTCGTTGCTAGTTCTTCCACGTATTTCTTCTTGTCGGCTCTAATGCTCCTTTTCACTTGTTTGTTTGCTTCTATGTATTCAGCTTGTGCTTGAACTTTCTCTGCTCGTGTTCGGCTGTTGTTTAGTGCTGCCTTCTTGTTCTTCCTTTCTTTGATCTTGTCCAGTGTTTCTGTAGAGATCCATTCCTTATGATGGTATTTCTTTAGACCCAGAACCTCTTGACACGTTGAAGTTAATGCTTCCTTGATGCCTTTCCAGTTGTCCTCCATACTAGTTTCTTCTTCTTTCAGTAGATCTTTTAAGGTTTGGAACCTGTTGTTGAGAGCTATCTTGAATTCATTGAGTTTGTCAGTATCTCGAAGGAAGGCTGTATTGAACCTTTGTGGTGCTGTTTGTCCACTTGTCCAGTTCTTTTTTAGCTTCAGTTTTAAATTGGCCACAACTAGGTGGTGATCTGAAGCTACGTCAGCACCTCTCCTGGTTCTCACATCTTCCATTGTCCTTCTGAATTTTTTGTTGATGCAAATATGATCTATTTGGTTCTCTGTAGTGTGGTCCGGTGAGATCCATGTAGCCTTGTGTATACGCTTGTAAGGAAATATTGTGCCCCCTATGACCAATTTGTTGAATGCACATAGATTTGCAAATCTTTCTCCATTTTCGTTTCTTTCTCCCAGTTCATGTCGTCCCATAATATCTTCATATCCAGTGTTGTCTATTCCGAGTTTGGCATTTAGATCTCCCATCAGAATAGTTAGGTCCTTTCTTGGGCATTTCTCAATGACTGACTGCAGCCGCTCGTAGAACTGATCTTTAATGTCGTCGTTGCTATCATTTGTGGGTGCATAACATTGGATAATATTTATTATGATCCCTTCCTTCTTTGTTTTGAATGATGCTTTGATGATTCCGGATCCGTGAGATTCCCATCTCACAAGTGCATTTCGTGCTACTTTGGACAGCATAAGAGCGACTCCCTGAGTGTGTGGAGCATTGTCCTCTTCGTGACCGGAGTATAGCAGCATCTCTCCCGTAGCTAGCCTTTTCTGTCCAGCTTGGGTCAAGTGGGTTTCGCTGATTCCCAGTACTGCTAAGTTGTATCTCTTCATTTCCATTGCTATTTGACTGGTCTTCCCGGTTTCCCACATTGTTCGAACGTTCCATGTACCTATAAAAATTGTTGGTCTGGTTGTTAGAAGGGGCATCGGCCTCGTGGCTTCCGAAGGAACTCGGCTTTCACCATGAAGCGTCATAATTCTCCTAACTAAAGACCTTCTAACTCCCAGGGCACAGTTTAAATGGTTTGGATTATTTTTTCTGATAAGCGTTTTTTTAGCGAGTTAGTTTTCTACTGGATGGGGACGCTAACCCCATGCCCACTCCTCCTCCTTTACCCGGGCTTGGGACCGGCAGTAACCCTATAAGAGCTACGGGCGGAGTTAATAATGTCACTACGTGAGTAATATTTTAGCGACACTTATAATTAATTATTTGCAAACTACTCATGTACTCTACCTTTGTAGGTAATGTTTCACAGCTGTAAAACAGTTTTGATGAACATGTTGGCTTACATGCAATTTTAAACGTTGAAAAATAATTCTGTTCTTTTGTCCCTGTTTGTCTTCAGGATAGTTGTGTGTGGACAATCTTTACAGACCTCTTTAGTTTTATTACTCTAACAATTTTCTCCTTTAATTTTATCATACTTTTCATTGTGTTATTTGTGCTTCATTTTGATTTATACTAAGGTTTTAAATTTTGAAAATAATATAAACAAGCTTTTGTAGTTTAGGGCGGTTACTATAGTTTCATATTCTGATTATATCGATCAACTTGAACTCAACTCGCTTGGCTATCATTTACTAGTATGGGTGAACAGTACTGTATAAACAATTGTTCGAAATCGTATTATCAGCACGGTTTCTTGGTTTTGTTTTCGTTGCGTTAAAATCCTATTTTTTTTCCAAGTGAAGGTATCATTCCGATAAAATCTTAATCCACCTTATATTTAGCATTCGTATTGGAAATCGTTTTATCAGATCGATAGTTTCCACTGTTTAAATTCGTATAGGTTGTTTCATTGTCACTGCCTGTTCATGATAACTTTTTTATGAAAATAAAACTGACAAAATTTTCTTTGTCTAAAAGAATTATAAGTAGTTATTTATTATTTAAATCATCACCAAATATATTCAATCCGTATATAGAATAACATGATGTCTTTAATCACTTGTAACAAATCCCTTAGTTTTACTTCTCTATATGGTTTATCTCGATAATGTTTATGAAACGTTAATAATTATCGAATTTAAAAGCCCAATCTCGTTCACTAAAACTTAATTTTGATAATCGATTTTTTTCCATCTAAGGGTATTTCATTTCTAGTTCTTAAATTGTTTATCCTTCATATATATTCTCCTTCCTTTGTGCTTGTCAAGCCAACATATGCATAGAGGATACCGTCATCCATTACTTTCATTGTTTTACGAAATGATGAGCTCGACTGATATCTTCTTAAATGTTTGTGGGAACATTTCACGAGATAGACTATTTGACGACTACCCATTATATATTTCCGACCAGTTATAAAGAGACAGAAGTAATTATTTTGATTTATTATGTGAACTGTATAATTGATATTATATTTGGTCAATATATATATATATATATATATATATATATATATATATATATATATATATATATGTGCACTAGTTTTATACAAACTACCAAGACGGTCATTTTTTCAGTTGTAGGTATGTTTTTCTCGTATTTCCCATTCGTTACTATCACATTTGTTCTCCAATTTTTTAGGTTGTAAAATTCATTCACTTTAGAATAACTATATTTAGTATTTTTTCAATATTTCATGCTAGTATTGATATAGGTAAAGTGGTCTTTTCACATATTAATTACTCGGAGCCAAATTATCGTGTAGCTTTGTAACATTTCATGTTAATTTTTTGTTGGGGATGTTAATTCTTCAAAGCTCACTTGGTAAGTGTCTAATTTTTGTAACTTTATGTCGGAAATTTGAATTTCTTGTTTCCGCGCCAAAAAGCCTTTTCACCGTCCTGTCATATTCTCCACTTGGGAGGACCTTAAATGTTATTGGTTCATTGTCTCTTAATATGCTGTTTTGTAACGTTTTCCAAGGACATTTTTATACTGTATATATACACTTGAATTGTGCTTATGGCTGTTGTTCGTGTTTTTCGTTGCTTGTGGAATACATTTCCCTCCTCTGAACCTGGACTTCTCTCTCTAGTTAGCGAGGCTGGGACGCATCGGAATAGTTAGCTTATTTAGTCATTCAGTCACTGAGTCTTCGTTCCGTTCGCAGATTAAGTGAACTCGTAATCTCTTTAAACATACCATTATTTTGAAGGATTTCGTTCCTATACGGTAATGATTATCATAAATGTAAACTGTTATCGTTTTGAGCGATTTAGTTGGGTTTACATAGAACTTATCATGGAACATATGTCGTTAACATTATAGGAAGAGATTAGTACTGAAACTGTAAACTACTTGTTTTAGAATATGTCAATAGATTAATCTTATCTGATGAGTTTTATTGTTCCAAGAATCCAATGCTACACCTACTAAGTGAATTGAAGTGCATTAAGTGAGGAATAAACATAATACTCGATTGTTTTTAAGTGAGTGGAGTGTGTTTGTATGTTTTTACATTGAAGTGAAGTAATAAGTTTATTGATACGTACTACATTTTACTCAGATTACCAGGAGTTTTATAGAAATTAGAACAACAACCAATAAGTGTTCAGTTAGTGCTAATCAAAGTCGTTATCACTTTGGCGACATAGTGGTTAACGTACTCCGTTTTCTACCTTTCGGTTAATTTCGTTTGATCACCTGTGTAGCATCACTAGCATAAAACTGACTACATTCATCTGTATTTGGTTTCTAAGTTGTGTTAAATTTGGGTATTATAAGTTATTATTATCAAGCCTAGAAAACATCGAATACAATAGTTTCGGAAATTAACTGCATCTCCGTAATTCAAACAGATGGATTTTTCACTGTATTAGATTGTATTTAATCCAATCATCTTTGAATTCAGTAATGGATTAACTGAGATAAAAACCTGATTTTATGATATGGGGTTGTGAGATTGTTGAATTTCATTAAAATCATGGACCGACCTAAATTAGACCACCACTGAAAACCTGGAAGCACTAGACGACTATTTCATCCTAGTATGGGACTACCCAGCAGTGCACGTTCACGGTCTCACAAGTGGAAATCAAACGCTTAACCTCTAGACCACTGATCCGGCATCCAACAATAATAATGCCCGACTTCACTTAATCCACGACATTGCCCAGTGGACTGTAGGTCCTGGGTTCGATCTCCGCGCGCGGGATCGTGAATGCTCACTGCTGAGGAGTCCCATACAATGACAGAACGACCGCACAGTGCTTACAAGTTTTCCAGTGGTGGTCTAATTTATTCCGGTTCATGATTTCAATGAAAAACCTGTTTCACTGCTATTTACAAATCATAGGTCTCTGGAATACTAATCTAACACTATTGCCAGTCATAAACTTTGGTTGCTATTTCAGGTTTTGATCAAAAAATTAAACTGGTATTTTATTAGTGCAGAAAATATTGCAACATTCATTTGGTGTTTTCAGTAAATTAAACGGGTTATTCATTAAAAGCATGTTATAGGACTGTATGTTCTTATCCATGTTTGTGGTTAGCTGTTTTGTGTGATTCCCCAGAATCATGGTCATTAATTCTCAAATTGATTCGGACGTTATATTTGTTGATAAATTTATAACTATGACCTAAGGGAAAACCTGGAACAAACCTAACGAAAAGGAATTTATCCAATTTTGTGTTTTATTTTATTCAATAATTTAGAAATTCTCTTAATGTCAAGTTTTCCACTACTTTGAAATAGTTTTTATAAGATGAAAAGTGGACATTTTGTATATTGTTTACTCAGTGAATTTCTTATTGCGATATAATCAGACGTTATTATACTTCTTTTGATATGTTAAATTAGTTTCTTTCTGTTGGGGAGGTCCAAGGTTATTCCTCGTACAAGTTTAGAGGGGCCCTGAAAACTGGCAAACGTTTTGTCCAATCAGCGTTGAATAGAACTTCCTCAAAAACATCTAGAAAGTAAAGAGTCACGTGCGACATTTCTGATTGGATAATTACCTACTCCAATGCTGTGCTTAGTACTTCCAGAAACCCGATACCATGTAAAATACTATAAATACCCTAGATTTTCTCTATATGAACTAACCTTGGAGTCAAGCGTTATTTTCACACTTCGCTTCTTTTCTGTCGTGTTCAAGTTGTCATGTAGGTTTAGCCTGCGGTTATTAAAAGAGCTTGAGAAACCGATTCAAGCGTTCGTTTAGAAGACTTATCACTTTTTTCTGACAAAACTTTTCGGGGTAAAGATAATGAAGTTAAGATTTCTATTTAGTTTATTGCCTGCATTCTTCACTGAGCTCATAATCTTATTAGTGCTATCAGTTATTGTGTTATGAAAGAAATATCTGTCAAATAAAGTATGGAGCTGGAGTTTAAGGGTTTAACTTTCAGTTACTCATACCAAAGTACCTAATAAATGACTAAGTTTTTCTAAAAATTTAAGTAAGGTATACTTTTTTCTTTTTCTTTCATACAGTCTTGTTCTGAATTTACGCATTTTACTCGTGGACAGTTTGCACGATGGCAGCGTATATTCAATAATCAAAATGAACATTGTGCTTTACTTGAAAAAATGATTGAACAATTAGCTAAACAGTTACGTCAGTTAGAATGTTTAACAAGACAAAATAATCCACAATCAACCTTAACACTTGGATCAAGTGGTTAGTTTACATTAATTATATTATTATATATTTATTAGAAATGATTTTTCATATCATTCGATTTATTGTCATTGTTCTTTTGATTTCAAGTTAACCTGACGATTGTACAAGTCTTTACCGAAAAATAACTTAAACCATTTACTTAATTAATTATCTAGTTATCTCTCGTGGCGCATAGGCCTCCAATCAGGAGTCTTCAGCCAACTATGTCCTAGATTTTCCTTTCCAATTGCAGTTATACGTATAAATTGTATCGAGTTTAGGTTTATAGCTTTTGCTTCAGCTTTCATGTGATCATAAATATGTGTGTTTAAAGGAGTTTCCATCCATTCTATTTTACTTGTATTAATGGATTCCCCTTTCTGCACCTAATATTTTCTACTAATATAGGATTTGTTTTGATAATTTGTATCTCGTTATGCTAATTTTTTGGCGACTTCAGCAGACGCATATGTCAGGTTCTATGTTGCATATGATATCGCATGATTTTCTCTTTTCCTCTGTGTTGGTAATATGAGTGATGAATAATTAATTATGTGGTGTGTAAAAACGTGATCTATACGTCTTCATGTTAAGAAATACTTTTTTATGTGACTCGTTTTTTTAACTTTTTGAGGATGCTGTGTGTAATCCGGTTTATTAAATCACCTTAACATTTATAATGTGGAAAATATTTCCCTAGTTTGAGTTTTCTAACATATACTATTCTTCGTCCTGCCTGATCACATATTCCGGTCTTCTGGTGTATCTGTAGGTATATTCTATGCTGCTCATTAACATATTTTTATATGCGGCATCTTGCAGACTTTCTTATGGTCAAAACGATACTTCATTGGATTCAATTTTTTTTTCAATATACCGCTAGGTGCATTGACTACTGATTTTGCATTTATTTTTGCTGTCAGATTCCGAAACAAGAAACCTGTATCATCTTCGTAAAGGTTTTGTTTTTACTTGATCTCGTCCGATTTCTAAACCTACATTGATATGCATATAGAATATAATATCAAATTTCTTGAACACTATTTTTCCTTGTCACGCTTGATTTTATCCAATCTTATTGTCGCAAATTATAAGTAATGATTTAAATAGTCAGTGTCAATCGTTTTCAAAAACGATTAGTTTTATCTATTTGGGTGTGTAAATTACAAACTTGATGTTACTGTAAAGTAATTTACAAGGGGGTTATTTTATTTTAGTGTTTTGAAAAGTGTTTTTAAGCAAATATTTTTTTGAAATTTCGCTGTTATATTTCATCAACTAACGACTACGATATTAAATACTTTGTAGTTTTAACACTTATTGTTCTTAGCTTAATTATTTAAGGTTGATTCTAGTCCAAAGATGTTTTTTCTATAGGGATTTTCTCTTGAATTCTTTCAGTATTGTGTAAAAAGTGTGCATATTGCACATGTACCGCTGGAATTAGTCTACCTCACCCAATATTGAGGGATGCTAAAGTATGTAATACCAATAGCGTCTGTTGGGAAATGGTTGGGTAGTTTACCTGCAGTAATAGATCGGCTATGGTCACCATTTGATAGAGCGCCATAGACAGTTTCCTAATTACCGTCATAGTATGAATATGAAAAACAAATAATCATTCATGCATAGGAGATCTCTTTATGATTTATATTATAAAGTTTTAGGAATAAGTATTCGTACAAGACATCAGTGAATTTTAAACAGAAATTAACTATAGCGAATTTAGATGAATCATTTAAAACTGTGTTACGTAGTTAAGTACAACATTCATTTTTGCGCTTAACAGCTCACAAATGCTCGAATTCTTCTTGGTCAAACAAGGTCACAGAGACTACACGCTTTTATGGCCTTACAGGATTTCTTCTGTTCTGAAATTTTCGTATTCTGAACTTTCTATTTGAGAGCTTGTGCCTATCCCCCTTGTGATATAAGCCATAGATTGAAGAACTTGAGGATCCTGAATCATTGCCACAGTTTCATTCATTATTTATGTCTTGTCCAGTTTATTACTCATCATTTTCCCTTATTAGCTGGTACTCCATGTTATTCATTTCTATCGACTTTTTGTGTGCTATTCTTAAGTTTAATGACACACAGGTAGTGTTCCACATTAGCATGTTTATTTACCTGTAAGTTCTGATTTAGTATTAATGTTTGCTAGTAACAAATCCATATTTGGGGTCCTCGCGATTAGTGTAACCAATTGTTGGAGATGAATATTGAAATGGTTCACAATCAGTTGATATGGCATAGATGCATTCATTCTTTGTATTTCCTTGTATTTTCTGTTTTGAAATTATCTTTTTCTTTTTATTCCTCGAGTTTATTCTCTAAGCTTATTGCCTATACCGAGTCTTTTTTTGTTACTACTGATGCTGTTACTACTTTCACTGTTCTTTCAATCGTTATGATTATTTCATCTTGTACTGATGTAGTGAATATTTATTATTCACTGCCAATCTTTATTTTGTTGATTCATCCATATATATCATGGTTTGTAGGTTGTGTAATGATTTATGTAAGAGAGAATTTACTGAAATAGATATTTATATTATACAGTTATTCAGCGTGTGTACTAATCGTTGAATAATTCTTTAGATAAATATGTTTAGAGGTTTCTACTCTTATTCTTTATGTTTTGTAAATTTAAGCTACCTACATTGTAGGTCGATAAGACTGGCTTCGTAATCTAATTTTATATTTTGGCCTAAGACCTGATTTAAAGTAACCAGTTTTTTTGTTTAGCGTGTTTTAACCAATGAACTTGTAAATTATTTCGTTAATTTTAGCGTAATATATGTGTGCGGTTATCTTCATTTTTAATTTTATTAGATCAGTTTATCTTATTCTTTCAAAATTATTATATGTATAATGATACTAGATATTCATATGTCTTTATCTAACATCAGACAGAATAGTCATTTAAAAGAAGTCGAATTCTGGGTTCTGAGCTATTCATGTGTTACTAGTGTTAAGTAATTACGTAGTGGTTGTCTTCTCATGTTTAAAAATATCAGATTGATCAAACCATGTCAATTTTCTCAACTTCATTTAATAGCTCGTCTCATCAAATAACATTCTGTTATGCTTTCAAAAATTGTAATGTAATTTAAAAAAAATACTGTATGATGATTTAAAATATGACATCCCTTCTAAATGTTCGCGTCTTACATTATATGTTATTTATTTATTTAAATACATAAATATTGGTAAGAGGAGGTACTAAATATATATGCGCTACACAAGCCATTCGATTTTTGTGAGGGTCGTAATACTTCCCAGGCGCTCAAACCGAGGCAGGTGGTCTTGTTAGGGGACCACTCCCCGGGCCTTTGACCTGAAGATCTAATTTACAAGGTAGTGGAGCAACGTTAGGAGATGCAGTCCTACGGCAGCCAACAATAGGTTTGTAGGCCATCTGTCCCCTCAGGATCCTGGAGCCCATATGCATCATTGTTCTGGAATCAGGGTTTTCTAATTCCTCCAGGTGGACCCTCCGTGTCCACCAACTCGATTAAAGAGCTGGACATTCACTTTTCGTCCTATCGACTTCGTGAACAACACCTTCGCCACGAGAAGGCAGTAAGTAGGACTTCCCCGAGATTGGTTGTATACGCTTAACCATATGAGAGCATTTCTAGAGAGCGGACTCTTCCCACCATCGACCGCACTAGGACACACGTGTTTAAATACAATTTATGTATATCTTGTGCCTATAACACAACGAACTGATATTCATTGTAACTGACTTTCAATGCACCCAAATATTTTCCGCATAAGTTGAAAAAACGTCAAAACGTGGCTTGTTTTTGTATAGACACTTTGTTAGCAACTAACTCACTAGTGTTAATGAAGTAGTCAGTAGACAAAACTATTTTACTTCATATTTTCAAATTGGTCATTGGCTCAGACCAGTTTTAATGAGGTACGTTGCATTTTAAGAAAACTAGAGCTGGTATTTTTGAGCTGTAATTGTGTTAAGATGATCGATTTTGTCAGCTTCTTTACAAAAACTATAAGATTCGTGAGCTACAAGTTGATGAAAGTTTCCAGAAAGATCAACACTTGGAAAGTCAGACAAAACATCATACTTTGAAATCGAAATTATGAATATATAGTTATTGAGAACACAAACTGATGTCGCTACTTTAAATGACGCCACGTCGCAATCTCATATCTGACCAATATTACTTGAGTAAAGAATCATCACTAGATTGATACACATCACTGAGACATTTTAACAATAGGCATGCGCGAGATACACCGACCAACAAAAACAGACTCCATATTTAATCAAAGAATAGGATTACCGTTGGATGTTGGTTAGTACATTTTAGTCTATGTTCACATAATACCTAGTTTTTGCAGTGACGCTGATATGAGGTTAGCGCCAAAGATGATACCCGGAGATTGTTTTAATCTGTCACTTTGATTGAAGATCTGAACTCCAATTTATTTACATGGTCATCGATCTGAACTAGTGTGAATTAAATACCTCATATATGTTGGTGTACATGGTTTTGAGCCACACTTTTTGACCACTTGGTACGTACGTTGTCATACTGCATTAGAACAGCGAGATCAATTTTTTACGACAAATCTCACAGTAGAGGTAATAACAGTATCGGTGGTCATGGAAAAGACTAGGCATCGAAGGCACGATTCAAGCCAGGCTGATAGATGTTAAAACTAAAGTAAACCGATTGAGATTTACATCAGTGACCTAGTTATTGAAAGTATGGTGATTTATTGAGTACCTTACAACTGCGATATGAACATCGACCAACTAACAATAATCTTTTTTAGCTAACGGCAAATAATACTTCTCATTAGAAATTAAACAATGGAGAACTTGAATGATTAATAATGCACATGGCACATACATTCACGTTAATAACTGATTCTTGTCATGTTGGTAAGTTTGATCTTATATTTGTACATACAGAAGAGCTGGAAAGCTGAAATTTGATCTGTATTGAACAAACTGCACTTAATAAGCTTGTCAGTTTCTCTAGTCCTGCACTTCAAAGGTTTCTCAATAGTTATAGTCCAAAACACATTTTAAGCAAGTTTTCTTAAGACGAAAACCGGTAAAGTATCATATACTGACGGCCCTGAATTAACCAATCAGAATTACAATAATGCCTTATGTATTTTGCGCAGAACTTAAAGTGTAGAGACGGATAACTTGTGTACTATTAATAAAGTAGTTATTGGAAATATTTACTCCTCAGAATGCTTGAAATCAAAAAATATCTACTGTGCTATTAAAAAGTAGATTTAATATGGGGCTTAAACTAAATTACATAACATGCTCGCTCCTAAGACAGACTGCGCGTTAAAGTACTTGATATGACGCAATCCGTGGTCAAGAATGCTTCGGAAGCTAGATAATACACTACCACTGTAATCCTTACAGTTGATTGCGGTTTCTCAAGTCTATACAGAAGAGTTACAGAGCATTGAATCATAGTTGATATCAGTTCGTGATGAAAACCCTAGACCTGATTTTTAAAAATCTATCTCCAGTTTAACTCTTGATACCTGACCCTAACCTCTTTGCATTATCGCTGGCGTCAGTTGTTGACGAAGACTCTATAAGTTAATTACCCTAACTCAATCCTGGTTTCTTCGTTCCCAGTTTTATAAACATACTTCGTAATATAGTAGTGTGTAGTAAGAAATGTATCTGAAAATTCAAGTTAAAGGTTTCTCATGATTGTAGATACACAGTCATATGCGATTTGTTGACTGTAAAATGAATCTGTAAAACATAAATTCTGTTTCCAACATTATCAACGGATTTAACCAAATCGAAACAAGGTTATTATTAAGTTTATAACGAATCTATATCTTTTATTGAGTGTTTGTCAATTAGATATTTCAATTTGCCAGTTTGTGCGATTCAGTAAACTTGAGGTTTTAAGATTTGGTTGTATGTTTTTCATCAGAAACCTGAAAATATATACATTTACATCCAGCAGTTTTTGTTTGGTGTAGATTTCACTTATTTCCGCCTTCTTTTGTAAGACAGTCGACGATATATTTGGTGAAAATGTATTTCAACGCAATAAGTTTTTCGTCTGCTTTTTTTTTTCATCGTGCTTTTTACAGTCAAGCCCCTTTTCTTTTCTTTCAAATTAGGCGGGACTGTCAGTTCGTCGCTGAATATCAAGTCTGTTTGCCGACCTCCTGGCCAGGCAGTTCGTGTACAGCACCTACCACATACTGAGACACATCCTCATGAAGAAAACGTCACCGCTTCACTGGATATTGCTCATAATACTACATCAACTGATGTTAGTGAAGAAAATTCAAACATTTGCACTGACAAGTCTTTGAAAGCCTCAGCAAAGCCTATCAGCTCATTAGAATCGTCCGCTCATCATTTTCCTCACACTAGGGCATTTATAGAACAACATTCATCGCAGCATAATGAAGATACTTCTGATGACGACTTTTATGATGCAGAGGAGGCTAATTCTGAATTCTCAATAACTCTGCCTGATCTTTCACCGAATGAATCGAAAAATAATGGGAACAAAGCCTCTAGAAAAACTTGCGGAAATTTGGCTAGTAACAAATCGAATGATAATCAGACAGGCTTAAACAATTCTCAAGATGAAGACTCTATAATACCTGCTGGTTCTGATATTGCTGACGAATATGAATCCGATGTGGGTTTCACTGACGATGAAGCAGATGAATATACTGATCAAAATTCACAATCGAATCAATTCGGAAAGCTACGTGAAGCACGTGTTATACAACCTCGTAGTAGACAATGTGGCAGGTAACATGAAAATCTGTTCCTTCATTGATTATATGACAGTAGTTGTTTTAGATTAGAGAGTGTCTGGAAATTAAGCATGTCAATTGTTTAGTCTTCATAAGATCTTACTAATTCTTTTTAATCTTGTATTAGTTACTTTGACAGAATATTTTCTCTGTAGATTTATTCATTTATTTAGTGAACCCAAGTCCATTTTTAATTCCTGACAAGCTATAATAGTGTAGTTTAGACCCTAGTTTTATACATGCCTTGGAGATAAACGCGAAATACAAAATAAATTTTTTCCCCAAGAAATAAGAATAAATTATGTTCTTTTCTACTTCTAAATATTATCTTTTAGTCTTTCCTGCTAAATCCGGTGTCCATCTTGTTGTATTAATGAGGTATGGCAACTTGGACCGATGCATATATGTGCCCGGTCCTACGTTGTAGCTGACTGACTGAAATCCTATTTAAGGTTCATGTTTGTACTGTATTGTTTTATGCCTTAAAATGTTCAGCAGTAAATTAATTCATCACTGTTCTTAATTTATTTTGGTTTAAAACAATTTGTGAAAACAAAAACCCTGAAAACCAGTTTGGTCATGATCAGATGACAGAAGACATTAAAATTCCGGGGAAACCGCTGTAATCTCTAAATTCATTCTACTTCGATATCGTGTTTTTCTGCTAAAATTTTAGTAGTAGGAATGGTATGTACAGTAATACTTATTGGGTTTGTTTGTTCTGGGTGATGAATTTAAGTCTGTGTTTATGCGGACCTTGTGAGTTTTTAAAATGAACGGAATGCTGATTTATGAGCAGTGAGTTTTGAGATGATATCGCCGAGTAATGACAGCTCACGAGATTGAATTAATTATGCGAAGACTTCAAGTGAACTGATAACAACTTTTATGAGAGTGGTTATTTTCATGCGTAAACGCCATGGCGTTATACAAAATAGTAACATGAAATTAAAGTGGGTAAATGTTGTTTAAAAAATAAGTGATTTAGGGTACGTGTATTGTTATAGGCTACTCACAATGCACTAATGAAGTCAAGACCTAACTATTAGTTTTACTTTTTGCCCATTATATCACTTTAATTCCGTATTGTCTACAGTGGTCACCGTTAACAATAGTTGTAGATATAAAATATTCTTTTAATTACAGTTATTTCTACACTTACTACTAATATTTCTTGATCATATGAATATCATTCGTTAATATAGACAATAGTAGACCATTAGTTATTTAAATTAATCGAATAACCTTTGTAGTTAATTCGGTTCACGATTTTGTCACAATTTAAAGTTGATTTTCTTTTTTCACACATTAAAATAGTCTTTTTTAAATTGATTCCAAATGGAATCATGCTCGCATTTCTGGTTTTCTGCATTAAATATATTTGCTTACACGTAGGTTCGTTCGTTTGTTTATTTTTAAATATCATCAAAATACTAATGATATGCAAATGTTGACAATCGGTGGTTTGTCCGTAGACACAAGTAAAATTTACCCACAATTTACTTCGCCTTTCGAGGATTTGTTTAGTTACGGTTTAATAAATGTTAAAGAATTTGGTACATTCTTGTGCAATCGTATATCACTTAATTTCATTTTGTATCGATTGTTTGTCTTCACTACCTTATTTCTCAGTATGTTTTTCATTTCGCTTATAAATATAGTAGAGTAGATCATTATTGTTGTCACTATTATCATTATTTAACATAAACAACGCACAGTTTCGTTAGTGCATAATATTTCTTACCAAATGATCTTTGCAACAGATCATATGACATTTTTTAAAGAAGATGAAATCAGCTTGCATGTTCAATAGGCTAGTGAATATGTATGTGTGTTATGAAAAAGTTTGAATCAAATTTACCACATTTGTTTTCTTAACATCATAATATCTGCATACATGTGTTAGTGTTCACTTTTTTCACTGTAATATTTCTTGAATCCTTTATTTATATATATATATATATACATATACGTAAATAGTCGAGCTGGCACTTTAGTTTCATCTGGTGATTGTCGAATGACACAGGACATACCTACGACTGGGGAATCTAATAGTCGTGGTCATTACCAATCTGATTCAGAACCGGATGTAATTAAAAAACGTCTACCTATTGTTAGAAGACTTTCTATACCTCCGAAACCTAATATAAGTTTGAATTTATGGAGTATCATGAAAAATTGCATTGGAAAAGAGCTGACAAAAATCCCGATGCCTGTGAGTGTATATCTTTTTATCAGTTTACATTACTTTTTATGTTGTCCTGTGTCACTAGCTTGCTATATGGCATAATTCATTTGATTACATTATTAGAATCTAACTGAACAGACTGAATAATCAATTACATACTGTGTGAGCAACCTATGTTTATTTGACACGGATTTAATCGGACGGAAGGTTTTGCCATGTACAAGATTACCTAATTTTTTATATCTTGTACTTACAAATATCAATCGAATATTCTGTTCAAATCACTTGGATTGTGGTTAGCTGAGAAAATGATGTATCATCTTCCCAGCATATGCAAATGAACTAGATTTACGACACAGCATTGTACAAACTCATCTGTTTTTCTGGTAAAATTAATGATCGTTTATATATTTGTTTCCCTATCTCCTAGTCGAAATATTTTTTTGTAACATTTCATGTTGTGGTAATCAGATAACATTTGAATTTGTGGATCTATCTGTAGTGTAGCATTCTGTAAATTCCTTCTAAAATTTTACTTGGGTAGTAAAAAGACAGTCGACAGTTACTTAGCATTAATAGGGACTTTTACACTAGGTATATCGAATACGCTCTACTGACTCTTCATTTCAACTCAGTCCTTGTTTGTGTATTCTGCTCTAACAACTATTGATAAATCAGTATTCGAATTGTTAGGGTTAGTGTCCCTATATGGGTCATTAATACTACATCTAATCTTTGTATTTATGAATTGTTTTTGTCTGAATTTATCAGTTTTTTTTTACAAAAGACTGTATGCTAAGTGTGGTTTGTGTTCGAGTTGTTATGTTTAATTTATTCTATTCGGTTGTTCGTTAGCCCCTGTTTACTCACCCTAATTACTGTGGGCACCTTCCGTTACTGAAAATTGCCTAATGAGAAGCTCTTTACTTGAACTGTCATTATACTAATATGTTCTATTCCTATCAAATCTTGAGGAATATAAGAGCACAAAGGATAATAAACGGATGAATCGCTAACACATGGACGAAAATAACTGATAATACATACAAAGTGGATTAGAGATCGACCTTTGAAAGATATGTCATTTGGATAAACACTGATTTTTCAAATAACTATGTCATAAGTAGATTAAAAGTTACTTTTCATCTGAAATAAACTATCAGTGAAGTGGAGATAATTAAGAGGTCTGTGGTTTACAAGAAAATTGGAAAAAGATAACAGTTCAAAATTTATGAACCATAGAGATAATTTTATATAGTATCGCCATCAAGTCTATATCCATTATATCACCTTTGCAATTGGCTTATAGTAAGCTTTAATTTGTTTACTTGACTTCTGAAGCTTACTTCTTTCGAATTTATTTAATAGATGTCTTTGTCTTTCGAAATGTCAATTAATAACTGCAGCTGTTATGACTGTACCTTCTTTATTTAATAGATTTCTTAATTGAACCTAGAAAGTAGCATTTAGCGTTTAATTATATTTTCGCAGGCTCTTTCGGAAATGGTGAATTCATCAGTCTGATGTCATTTATTCATTATTCTATTTCTATCTACTCTGTTATTTGACTGGCAATCAAACAGTTCAAATGCATTTTAAAAAGAGAGATGTCTTCACAGAATAGTCTTTATTTATCATCAAGTATATGTCTTAAGGTAGTGGCTTGCATATTATTATCACAGGATTCACAGGATAATTTAATTAATGAACAGATTTTGAGTCGAATATAGGTACTAATTGAAAACCAGATAAAAATATTGTAAATTTCATTCGAATATTATTAAAGACACAATATTCTCAAAAACAAATGTTGAAAAAAAAATCATTCTTCATTTTTCATGTCAGTTAAGGTGATTTTCACTCAGAAGTCAACTTTCAGTTCGTTTTAATTATATTCAATTATTCTAAGTAAATTCTATTCATTGTAATTTTAGTTTCAATGCATTCTCCCTTGTATTGATTATTTCATGGTTAATTACTCAGTTGAGAATATGTTATAATTAACATGTAATTGAATTAATATAAATATAAGTAAATTTATGTGATCTCGATCAAAAAGTTAGTGTTAATTTAGATTGAAATAGACAAAAGAATATTTAATAATGCAAATCAAAATTATTGTCAAACTTAACATAGATGAATTTAATATTTAAGACATTTTCTCCTAACTTCCTTAGTTAATGTAAATTATTACGCTTTTTTAATGACTTTTTGATTATGTATGTTATTTTAATGACATTTTATTGTTCCAAGAATCTATGGACATTTTATTCATGTCGTTTATGCAATTAGTGTGAAATGGTATGAATTATGAATAATATATTAGTTGCAGCACATGTCAGCCAGTCAGTATCAACGTAGAACTTCGTACGTAAGTACATCAGTTCGAGTTGCCACACCACATTAGGACAGAGATGCAGTGGTCAATTCAAATCCCGTAGTGGTAGAGGTAATAAGAGTATAAGCAGTAATCGGGAAGATTAGTGTTTGGAGATGTTATTTAAAGAGTATAATACAGTGAAATAAATTTGGGAAGAGAAAAGAAAGAGACAAGGAGGAATAAGGAGATCAAAATTTGAGAGAACACAAAGAGTGGATGCACCTGCGCCATTGCAAACGATTTCGAGCCATGTCATTCAGGATCTCTAACCATCGGTTGCTATCATCTCGCGATCTCCAACTAGGTAGTCTACACCTACCGACATGACTCAGACCACTTGTCAGTGACTTCATGGACTTGTGCCATGTAGCACGTGTGTATACTAATGAGTTTTGTTCGTATATACTCTTGTTAGTAGTCAAGTGATATAACTAATAAATGCAGCCTTTCAACGAATAGACAAGTTACTTGAACTCTATTACACTAATTTTGCTTTCATTATCTTACTATATATATATAGATTAAAAAGTAGTAACATCTGGTTTCTTTTCTCATAAATATCTGGTGTTATTGAGTGTGATTAACAATATTCTGAAATAAAAATCAACATCCATCAATACATACTGTGGTTTAATTATGAACATGTAAAGCGGAACTCACTGTTTACTTGATCTCAAACCCTTTTTTAGGTGTATAGATGATGATCAAATAGTCTTCAGGCTTGTATGATTGCACCATTTTTTAAAATTTCGTCATAGACATTCTTTTAGAGATAACACTTTCATCATTTTAATTTTACATAGTTGGTCTTCTATCAGAAGATTCACCAATTGATTTTGAATACGCAGATGATATAGTTCTTTTTAGTGATGATGCTGATAAAGTACAGTCTGCTAACTATCTTGAGCAACAATACAACCATGTTTCTGATACAGTTTTCTCCCTCCAAACGCAAAAAGTTGCTTCAGGATTGGCTTGTGTCAGTGCTAGAATCAATGATAGGAAGTGAGATGGTTGAACGTATTAACCACTTCATTTGTCTTGGAAGTCTCATCAGTCCTGATGGTCTGATGCCTAACGAAATCTCAGCACGGATTCGGAAAGCCCGATTGACTTTCCCTAACTTGTGCCACTTGTGACGTACACAAGTTTGCCAATCAAAGGACGAGTTTACTGCTCAATAGTTCGCTCGGTTCTAATTTATGGGTGTAAAACATGGCCACTTGGAGAAGAGTTACTAGTAATTGAACACAAATGTCTACGAAGCATTAATCGTGTGTTTCGGGACCACCCAGTAAGCAATACCTAAGTTAAGAATATAGTCCTGGGCAAAGATGGTAAATCGATAGATGGAGTAGTAAATCTTCATCAGCTAAGGAAGTTAGGGCGTGTGTTACGTATATCCAGCCACTGCGTACTTCGACGGGCTATGTTGTCTGGAGTAGTAGTAGACTGATAGAAGGCTAGGAACGACCAGACCGAAAAATCACATCTGTTTATGAAGTTACTGACAATTGGATCTAGTCATGTTAGTATGTATGGACTACTTGGTTGGTGTTAGAGTGATTATCATAACCAATGGTAGGGGACTTTGAATGACATGGCTCAAAATTGCAACGGCGCTAATGCATCTCGTTTTTATCTTCTCTCAGGTTCCAAGCCTCTAAGTTCCTCATGATTGTTTTTATTTTACTAACTTATAAAATCTCAAACTGTATCTTCGATGCCTAATCTTCTCTAGTACAACTAATATTGTTCCTACCTCTGCTAATTTAGGATTTAGTCCAACAACGTTTTCTCCATGTTAATAGAGTATATCAACTTGAATCGAAGTTCATATGTATGTGGTTCTTCATTGCGTTTAACTGACTGACTGGATGAGAAAATACGTTTTCCATTTTAAGTTTATTCGTTCTTTAAATTTCATCCTGGAAATCCAAAAATGATCAGTTCATGGTTTTTAATACATTATGATCACATTATATTGTACAGTGCGACAAGAGAAATATTTATAAACATTATAACCGTCTTCTTAAAGAAACACCATAGAATAGTAAGGTGTTCACTCCCAAAGGCTAAATAAACAATCGATTTATCGTCGAATTTCACATATCCGTATCACAATTATAATATATCAAACTATTACCACTGACACTTTATGAAATTGTAGTAAATAATCTCTTTTGCAAATAGCATATGGATTAAATATTTCTGTATTTCTCGTGGAATTTAGAAAGCTAACTTTCAGGGTTCGTGCAATTAGCTGATAGCTTCACAGTTTATCTTTTACAAAAAAACGTCTTAAATCATTTCCTCGTTGTTAGAATAGGTGCCTATGACAGTGGGCATTTTAAGTCGTTTATGACTCACTGAATACAGTAAAAAAATTATTGATCTAATTTTTTGTGAAAAGTATATTAGTTGAACTTATTTCTTTACAATATCAACTCCCTGTTATCAGACCATATGAAGTTTTTGAAAATCCTGATACTGTAATTTAAATGCTTCTTCATTTGTAAAAGCTATTGTTTAGGTTGTTTACCTAGTATCACATCTTCGCTCTTTATCCTCTAGTATACAATAGTAGAAATAATTAGCTGACATGATAATAATCATGTTAACCATAGATAATATTTCGTTACCAAAGACTTGGTTACTCGGTGACTTCAAGTTTCAGGAGTCATTTACTTGACATGAAATGTACATTTGCTTTATTAATCCAAGTATTAAATTTTGGTATCTTTAACTTTTAAAATACCTTCTATAAACTATTAAATAAAGTGATACGTCGTAATGATTATTTCAAAATATTTTAGCAAAATATTCATAATAGATGTTTGTATTTAACAACATAATGTTTTGCATATTTCTCAGGTCAATTTCAGTGAACCTTTATCAATGCTTCAACGTCTAACAGAAGATTTCGAGTATTCCTCATGCTTAGATCATGCAGCTGCTTGTCAAGACTCTTTGGAACAAATGGCATATGTGGCTGCTTTTACTGTATCCGCTTACGCTACAACTGCAGTGCGTACGAACAAACCATTTAATCCTATATTGGGTGAAACATATGAGTGTGACAGAACTGATGATTTCGGCTGGAGATCGTTTGCTGAGCAGGTACATTTTCCCTTCATAAATTGTGTAACGTAAAAATAGTAAATTGTATTTGTATAAGCTATTTCAGTGTTTCAACATTATTTATGAAACTTTCAGTTTTATTTCCATTTCAACTTATTTTGTAAAAACCAACTTTACTTTGGAACACTGTAGCATGGAAATAATTTATTTAGAATGATTGATGCGAAAATTGCTCCTATAAAAAAATTAGATCACATGGTATTGTAACGGTAGGTTAATATTTTTTGTTCTTTGAGGGTTCTTCACTTTAGAATCACTGTTGAGTCAGGGCATTTGGCATACTGTTATCCGATTTCACAAACTTAAGTGATGTTCTCACGGGTTGTTTAGTTTCCCTATCTTTATTACGATATAGTCTTAGTTGTCGAAGATGCCAACAAAAGACAGTTCTATCAATGGATTGAGTAACAATCAATGTTAAGGTTTCATTTTTCTCCTTCTAAATGCAAAATATTGCTTTACGACTGGTGAAGAGTCCATTAAGTCACTACTTGTCAGTGTGAAGCGTCGCATAGGTGGTTTAGTGGTTGTGACACCTAGCCTTTAACCATTTAGTCACTGGTATACACTCTGATCCATCTATCTTGTTTTGAGCAACCGATTATTATCACTAACCCTCACGATTCAATGATCTCTGATATGGTAAAATATAAGGAAACAAATAAACACTAAAATAATTCATTTAACAAATGCAGCTGAAGAAATAAATACAGGTGCTTCTCATATAAGCTACATTTCTCAACATGTTTTATACGAGCGAGAATCAAATGTAGTTAGAAAATCAGATACTTTCGCTTTTTTTTTGGTTTCCTGAAATTTATGTAAAAAATCATTTGTAATCTTTCTAATCTTCTTGCGTTTGTTCACGTTTCTGTATCTTTTTTTCCTTGAGTAATAAAACCATTTATCAAATTATGTACACAGTATGCCTGGTCAGTTTATGGAATTGTAAAGTAGAAATTCTTACTAATGGAGAAGTATTCTATTTTATATATTAGAATATGTATACAAAATATCCATTATCGGCTTTAACGTATTAAATATTCTTATTAAATTATCAAAAATACAAGTTATGTTGAGCGCAAAATCAGGAAAATTCATCATTGTAATTCTGAACATCACCTTTCATGGTTAACCGAACGATAAGATAAAACAATAAGAAGCTCTATCGTGGCACATCTAATTGTTACTTGTCTGTCTACACAAATTTGGCTTTAGGAGTTATCTATAGAATCCTTTTTTGTTTAACCTATGCCTCTAGAATTTGTCTCTAACACGCAACAAAAGCCATAAAGAATACACACGATTACTTTCACAAAAGATCACTAAACATTTATATTCCTTTGTTTAATTTCAATCTTACTAAATTCCTATTCTTATTCTTACGTAACTAATAATAACCGACCGATTTTGTAAACTGTTTAGATTTAAATTTCGTTTCTCCCTACATATTGATTAATATCTTGAGACAGGCATTGTTGAGTCGATGCACCGCCATTCATTTTGTGTCGATTTTATACTATGTTGTCGACACATATATATGTTAGTGTAGAACCATGTCGAGGCACCAACTTATAAGAAATATTTCTCCTTTCAAATTGCATCATTAATTTGTATACTGTAGTATAAAAAATGATGTAATACTTTTGTGAATTACGATGTGTTATCAATTCCTATTACTATTAATACAATTCAGTGGCTAAATATACATTTTTGTGTGTCCTAGAAAGAGTAAACGCAAGCATCTGATAATATAAATTGTTCTAATACGCTAGAATCATCATCAATTATGGATTAAGTTATTTCACGTCACACTATTATGTATCCTTACATGTGCTACCAAAAAGCTTTTTAGTAATCATACTTATCGTTGTTATGTTTCTCTATCTTGTGCTCATTCGTTCCATTTAACCTATTCACTTCTTGACAATACAATTTTGCAATATGATTAATGCACCTATAACGAATTGAACTTTATCATTAAAAACATGTTAATTCTTGTAATCCGTTTATAACCAGTTGAGTAGCGTAAAATGTAATGCCGATTATTTGGTTAGTTTCAAGAATCCCGATTCCATGTGATTGAAATGAGGCTGTTTTAAAAAGCCTTTCATAAACGGAGATAACCTGAATCTGTGGAATTATTTTCTGATCGTGGTTGCCGTCATTTCGACGAAATAGAAATTAATTTACCTGACTTTCTGTAAACCAGTAAAATGGATTCAGCAAATATATCGAGTGACATAGACATAAAAATGGAAGTTTACTTGTTTTATTCACTTAATTTCCTTTCACTTTATTACTTTTTTGGATAAATCTCATCTATTTTTGCTAAATTGTAGTTATCAAGATATTGAAACTGAAAATTTACCCTAGAACCATGTCTTCATCATCAGCTGTATATATAAGATATTACAGTTAGTTGTATTTAGGCTTTAGTCTTTCATTCTTTTTCAAACTAGAAATAAATTTCGCTTAGTTTAATAATCTCATTTTTTTCTAATTCTGTATTTATGTGCTTACTAAATACTTTTCTAAGAAATCTAAACATTCTATAAACTGTGAAGATCGTAGGTATTCTTTAAATTTTCATACATTTCTGTTTTCCAGTACCGAATCCATGACTAATTGCAATATTATATTCCAGTGGTTTAATTAGTAGTTAGTACGTCTTTCATTATAGATGTCGTATGAGCTTACTAATTATAACAGATTCTTGTATTCTTTTGAAATCAATGCCATAACTACATATTTAAATTCATTTATTTTATTCAATAATGCATTTGAATATTAATTAAATTATTCGCCCCATCGTTTAATTACTTCGTAATTTTCATTATCATTGTTAACTCTGTTGGAATGTGCGATGTTGTTATTTATACACATCACCGCTTGATTGGTATCGATTTTATTGATATTAATGTCATTAAATATATTTATTGGTATGTTGCCGTAATAAAAAACTAAGTGAAAAGAAATATTTCTTCTCTGATTGTTTTCTAGATATATAAGTAGGGACTTTTGTTCCATTTAAATTCAACTAAGTTTTCAACACTACCGTTTATACCTATTTGTGGAATGATTTATCTCATTCAACAATAATGGATGATTGCTCGTTTAGTATTCTCTCTATGTGCCACATAGTTTAGTCGTTTCTTATATTGTATGAACATGTGATAAATAAAGTTATTGACTTCAGCGTACTTTATCAAAACGAATCTCTGTTGATTCACTTTAGTCAAGAAAGGAACAATGTGATGTTAAAGTCTCAAGTTGTGTTATTTCTTAAAAAATTTAAGAAATATGAGCCTCATTTGATATATCTTGATTGTCCTTGTGTTTGTGAAACTTGCCTATCCTTGGTTTTGAAGAGTATTTCATAAGACGTATCTTTTTTTATAAATTTGTGTGCTACAGATAGTATTTTTTGTGATAGATTTGGTTTTAAAATTTCTACACTAACAAAATCCAAACATGTTTTAGGTCAGTGCTTGTAACGATACATTCAGACAAACATATAATTGACTAGCAATTTGAACCGTTGATTGTTATCCCCGTGCATAATTTATGACTTTGTATGTTTCCATAATCTATGTTGACCAGTATAGCATTAGTCATGTTGTAATAACCAACTATTCTGTACACTTCTTTCTTAAAAACCAATGTAAGCTTTCCGCAATTATAAAAGACAAGCATTCATGATACATAAAATCTTTTGTAACGAGTTACAAATCTTATATTATCTTGTCAGTCAGTAACAACGTAGAACTTCGTACGTAAGTACATCAGTTCGAGTTGCCACACCACATTAGGACAGAGATGCAGTTGTCGATTCAAATCCCGTAGTGGTAGAGGTAGCAAGAGTATAAGCAGTCATCGAGAAGATTAGTGTTTGGAGATGTTATTTAAAGAGTATAATACAGTGAAATAAATTTGGGAAGAGAAAAAAACGAGACAAGGAGGAATAAGGAGATCAAAATTTGAGAGAACACAAAGAGTGGATGCACCTGCGCCATTGCAAACGATTTCGAGCCATGTCATTCAGGATCTCTAACCATCGGTTGCTATCATCTCGCGATCTCCAACTAGGTAGTCTACACCTACCGACATGACTCAGACCACTTGTCAGTGACTTCATGGACTTGTGCCATGTTTTGGTCTGGCCGCCCCTAGCTTTCTTCCAACCTACTCCTATACCACTGAATATAGCACGTCGAGGTAGTCGGTGGTTGGGCATACGTAACACGTGTCCCAGCCACCTCAACTGATGAAGTTTCACTACTTCATCAATTGATTTGCCATCCTTACCTAGTACCCGTTTCCTAACAACTGCATTACTTACTCGATGGTCCCATGATATACGAGCAATGTTTCGAAGACACCTATGATCGAATACTAGTAACCTACGAATATCCTCTACTCTTACCGGCCATGTTTCACTGCCATAAAGTAGAACGGAACGAATTGCTGCGCAGTAAACACGTCCCTTGGTTGATAGACGGATATCTCACGCCATAAATGACGCAAGTTGGTAAAAGCTAGTTGAACCTTCTATATCCGTTCTGAGATTTCGTCACATACCAGACCACAACGGCTGATGAGGCTTCCAAAATAAGTGAAGCAGTCGACACACTCAATTACTTCACTCCCTATCATTAGTTCGGGTGTCAATGCAACCCAATCCTGAAGCAACATTTTGCATTTCGAGGGAGAGAATCGCATGCCGAACATGCTTGCATTGTTGCTTAGAGTGGTCAGAAGACTCTGCATTTTGTCAGCGTGTTCACCAAATAAAACTATGTCATCGGCATATTCTAAGTCAACAAGTGAACCTCTCGGTTGAAGTTCAACCCTTGGAAATCTAGACGAGGAAGTACGTCGACGACAAAGTTGAACAAGAATGGAGAGAGTGGGCAGCCCTGACGAACACCACTTGAGGTGATCAATTCTGATGACAGTTCGCTATAAGCTCTCACTCTACCAGTTGTGTTCGAGTAGAGAGCCTGAATAAGGTCAATGTACTTCTTTGGTACTCCTTGTCTAATATGCGGAAGCGATAACAATATCACTTTTAGAATTCTGTTTCTCTTCGTATCGTCTGTGCTTTCTTGTTTATCAGTTGAATAATGTAGACGATTGATAATCTGAACTTCATTGATACTGATAGGGAAAATTGCTCATTTATAAAAAAAACTATTTAGGACACTTTAATACACGTCTGTGCTTACTCATTAGTGTCTCAAAGTTTATCAAGACTACATTTAGATGAAAATAAAATTTCATCTTTCTAGTTAAGCGATAACTAATTTAATTTTGGATTTATTCATCTTTGTTGGTTATATCCTGCTATGTCATTTGGAATACAAACTAGTTTAGGGAGTCTAATTAAGAGCCTTCATCTGCGATTAAAGACAGTAACTCAAGAAGAAATGTTCTTTCACTATGTGGGCAGTCGTAAAGTGACAACCGCTTTTATACCTCTAACACGCGAGATCACCTTGAGACGGTTCCAGAAAAAATAGACCTTTTATTCATCTGGTCGACTAATTTATTATTACTTCATATTATCAGTTTATCAAAGTTAAAGGGAATTTTTTTGTCAAACAGTATAACCAATTTTACTTGATAATAGAAATAATGATTACCATGTTGATAATATATATATTCCTTCATATATTTGCTTGTTTTATAAGATATTGTAACTTATTTATTCTGTCTCCCTTATATATTGTATACAGGTCAGTCATCATCCACCAGCATGTGCTTTACATTGTGAAAGCAATGCTTGGTATTGTTGGTTTGATTTTTCTATGACAACTAAATTCCGTGGCAAATACTTACAGATTAATCCAGTTGGTACATGCCATTTAGTATTTCGTCGAACAGGTCATCATTATACATGGCATAAAATTCCACTGACTGTTCATAATATCATTGTCGGACGTTTATGGATTGATAATAGTGGTGAAATGGATATCATAAATCATAATACAGGTGAAAAGTGTCATCTCTCTTACAAACCTTATTCATATTTTTCTAATGAGAAACCACGTCGGGTGAGTTGTTTTCCAATTGTCTTTTTTATTCTTAGTAGATCAATAATTATAACTGGGTTCTAATCTAGAAATTATTTTAATATCTGATATTCAAATGAATTTCATAGAATAGGATAATACTAAGATATTTGAGAAATAGTTATAGGCATTTTAAATAATATCAAGTCAAAATCTGATGTTCATTCGCTACTAAATTTCGGCTGAAGTATAATTCATGAACTTTTGTTAGATAATTGTGACAAATGACATTCCAAATTGTATCATATCACACATTGATTGTTGCACATAAACATCGTCATTTGTTTCGTATGAAGGCTGTGATATTGCGCGGTTGCCTAGACCGAAGCAAATGGTTTTCTTAAATGACCACACCCGGAGCCTTTGACCTAAAAGCCTAATCCACAAGGCAGTGGAGCAACGTCAAGAAACGCAGTGCCATAGTAGCCGGTGACCAACTGTTTGTTCATACTCCATTTGTTCCCTCAGGATTCTGTAGCCCATGTGCACCATTGATTTGGAATCAGGGTTTTCCAACTCTCCTAAGTGAACCCACCGTGCTCACCGACCCCGTTAAATCGACGAACATTCGGTTTTCGTCCTCTCAATTTCGTAAACAAGACCCCCGCCACGAGAAGGTAGTGGGTAGGACTTCTCTGGCAGTGGTTGTATGCACGTGGCCATGTGAAAGCTACCTGTCCTCACCCTCGTCCGTACTGGGGCTACTACTGGAAAAATTATTCTCGCTTCAATTCGCATTCAGACAGATCCCATTCACAATCATTTGATAACATTCGTTTTTATTTCTTTTATACTACGTCACGTATGTACTTCCCTTTATTCTCATTTTGTGTATTTTATTTTTCAACTTATACAAAAGGCGGCCTATGGTAGAAACCCTGTCCTATCTAAACGACTTCAAGTCACTAACTGGTTGGAAGTTGAATGCTCCCACCGACTACGAAAATTGAAGCAGTCTTTCTGAAACCACGTATACCATACAAACTGGCCTCCTTCAATGTTCGCACACTAACTCAGATCGAACAACAAATAGGATTGGCTGTCTTGAGAAAATCTTAATATCGACGTCTGTTATTTATCCGAGACCCGTATTCAAGACTCTAGTGAAGTACTACAAATCCGCTCTTCATCTGTCGCTTCGAAAAGCCCGTTTTATGTGCATTTATCTGGGGACCCTGTGGCATCTTCGTCCGGTTTTACTGGCATTGACGTCGCACTCGAGCTGAGACAGCATTAATTGATTAAATACCCATAAATAGTCGGTTGTGTGCTGTTAGGTTAGAAAATTCCATCAATGTAAGAAGAAATAGGTGTAAGAAACGATGTCTTTTCGTCATCATCGCCTATGCTCCGGCAGATTGCAGCTTTGATGCGAACAAGAATGAGTTTTACTACAAGCTAACAGTTCCCCAGAATGTGCGTTCGACAGATATTGTAGTACTAGCCGGAGACTTGAATGCTCAGGTCGGGCGTCTATGCACAAAAGAGAATCGTTTAGGTGGCCGATGGGGACTTGTTGGTCGCAGGTCAGATAACGGGAACCGTCTACTCCAACTGTAAGCAAACCACAATTTATTTCTGGCTAGCACTAGCTACCGACACAGTCATCGCCGATGTGCAACCTGACACCCTCTGCATCTCAAGCCTGGACTAATATTGATCACATCGCGATCAGCTACCGCTGTTAGGTAATACCCAAGCCATGCAATTCGCACTTAATCAGTTGGCAGTCAATGTCCGTAGGTATGGTATATGCTTTGTACTTTCTAATTGCAAAGTATTTTTATAAGACTTGCAGGACCGTGATCCTGCACTCACCCTGGACAGTGAGCGGATAGAAGCAGTCGAGAAGTTCATGTACCTACGTAGCTGCATAAGTGCTGGTGGTGGCGTGAGTGATGAGACTAATGCACGAATAGTGAAAGCCAGATCGGCTTATGCTAATCTGGGCCATCTTTGGCACCTTCGTGATGTTAGTCTGGCTGTAAAAGGTCGGATCTACAACGCGTCGGTTAGAGCAGTTTTGATCTATGCTTGTGAACCCCGGCCTCTCCGGCTTTGAGGATGTTAGACGACTCTCTGTGTTTGGTCATCATTGTCTCCAAAGGATTGCTGACATCCAGTGGCAACACTATATTAGTAATGCAGAGGTTTGGCATCGTGTGTTCGGGCGCAGAAACGATGATGCGATTGGTGTCACCATCTTGAAACATCGACTTCGGTGGCTTGGACATTTTCTACGAATGTCGTCCCAGAGAATTCCACGTTGTACATCATTTGCCGACTCTGGGACCGGTTGGAAAAAGCGGAGAGGTGGTCAGTGTATGACATGGTGTCGTGGTATGAAAGAAAAGTATATATCACTGGCTACACCACACCGTGGTTGGAGTCCTAAAGATATTGCAATACTGGCTGGGAATGTTATCAGACATAACTGAGAATAGAGGCCAGTGATGATCCTGCTGTAACTTTCTTTTACTTCATAAAAATGAACGTAAATTTTTTAATTGAAGAAATTCTATCTGGTTATATTTCTACTAACTGAACTGTTTCTCCCATTATTGTTATTTCACTGTCATACGCTAATTTCTGTTCATTATTGTACTTCTTTTATCTTATACGCAACTTTCATTCTTAATATCTTCACATTCTCATTATTATTGTGTGACGCATGTATATCTGGTGCCCCTTTGTACCAATATTTATGTGTTCAAATAAATAAATAAAGCACATAAATATCAGCTGCTGTATTTCGACCTAAAAGTTCAGTGTTTAACGTGTGGTCACTGTTTAGTTGTTTCGTCCACCAGTTTTCAAAGCGATCTAAATAAGTCACTGTGATTAAGTATCTTACTTATATCCTGTAAATCACGTCGTTATCCTCTGAAAAGTCTTCTAGTTTTATAGTTTGTGCTTCCATTTAAGGATATCCATTCTCGAAACAACACACTATTGAAAATGTACCAATGATTCCTCAACAGTGGCTAACGACAGAATTTTCGTACTGTCATATTTTATATCAGCAACGCTTATGGCCTATTTATACCAGAGAAAATTTGGTAAAAATTAGTCATTACCAGTCTACTTAAAATTTCGAAGCTTTTGTGTTTGATGTCTAATATCTTTCTTAATGGTTTCCGCTTTGTTCTAGGTTACAGGTGCTGTACTTGACAAGTCTGGTGATGTACGGTATGTTTTAAATGGTACATGGGATGATTCACTCGAGTATGCACCTGTAGTTAGTACTAGGCATTCACGCAATGGAAAACCAGTATTGGAAACTGGACCTGCACGTGTTCTGTGGCAAAGTAATCCTTTACCACCTGATGCAGAACGAATGTATTGTTTCACGCGTTTAGCATTGCAGCTGAACGAACCTGATGAGGATGTATGTCCTACTGACTCTCGTTTGCGTCCTGATCAACGTCTTATGGAAGCCGGTCGTTGGGACGAAGCTAACAGGGCAAAAGTAGAACTCGAAGAACTACAGCGCCAACGGAGACGCCAAATGGCTGCCGAATTAGCCGCCCAGTCACTTGCTTCTAGCAAACAGGATGAAACGAGCGACACACACAGTAAATCTGAAAGCTCCGTTTCTGAACAATATAACAGTCACTCAAGTCCGTCTGCTAGTAACTTTCGTAAGTTTTTCAAGAGTTATTGAGTTTCTTGTTTCTCTTTCATATATCTAATATTATTATTGTTTTTTTATTTAGAGTCTAGGCATGTGAATACCACTTATGTTTTTTTTATAAATCCCATTATCATTACCACCGCTTGACTACTCGCCATTTCCGCATATATGCACTGAATAGTTTCGTTTTTGACTACACTTTGAAACACAAAACATGGGGAAAATAAGATTTTTAGGAGTATTTAGAATATTCAAAATAACTTGTATAGTTACTTAACAGTTTGTAACGTCAAATATACAAGTAGTATGATATGGTGAGTTTAAGTTACACATTAGGTTCCTTTGTTGAATAAGCAATCACTTATATAGTGTCTTCACTACACATTTACAGGTTTAGACAAGGGATGTTTTCCTTACTCTGTAAAGAACAATATTTCGCTAAATACATATAATGCCTTGATCATGTGTGTATCCTATAAGTTAGTGGTGTTCAAACTGAGAATTATCTCCTGTAATATATTCTTTTTTTCGTGTTGCAGGTCCGAATACACACACAGTTGTGACTTTAGGCCAAGTAAACAAATTTGTACTTGTCTATTGAGTTCTATTACTAAATTAACATATCCTGCTTCGTGTAATAAATGTCATGTTACTAATGATTATTCATTGATTTCATTTTTCCAGTCGATATTGTTGATAGCCAGCATAAACCACTGTGGTTTACAAAAGAATTCGATCAACTTACAAACAAAGAAATGTATATATTTACTGGGAAATACTGGGAGCACAAATTAATTCATGATTGGTCAATGTGTCCGAAGATCTACTAATCTTCACAAGTGCAGAAAAAAGGGATATACATATTCGCCGTACTACTATTTTTAATTTTTTTTTCTTGCCAGCGAATAACTGAACTAATCGTTAGATATTATTTGTTTCCGTGTTACAGACACGGAATTATTCTTATACTCTTACAATAGTTATAATATATTGAGTATTACCAATATTCAAGGTTGGTATACACACACTTAGATTTGTAATGGTGTTCGAATAATTCAAGATCATTTCTCATCAGTGTCTGTAATTTTTCCAGAAGTTACCCTTTTCCCCTGATTTCTGTTAATAATCATGAAAAGAAGTCATAAAGTTTAATCTGATGTTTATCAGTACTAACACTTTCCCATATGCGTATACTGCATTAGTAACTATTTAGTGTGACTGTAGTTCACTTTTCTCACTTGACTCCGTCCAGTTGCATCTGATAGCTACTTACTTCTACTTATTAGCAAACAAAATTTTTCAGTCAAATCCAAACGTTACTCTGATTTCTTACATCAGGTATACAAACTAAATCCTGCTATTTGATTCATGGTTGTTTCTTTCTTCATACATTTTCTTGATCAGTTATTTACTTTTGTGAAGAAAAAGCATCATATCTGTCTATATTTAGTCGGCATGTTCATTTCTATTTTTCCACCTGTTCTTTATTTGTGTAGCATAAATTCCTCCTAGTGTTTACAAAAGACACTCATTTTGTGATTAAAATCTCTCACTCTGTTTAATCTTCCCTATGTTGAATATTATGTTCTACTTGTTTCTGTGTTTGATTCGATTTAACTAGAGCTGATAAACTTTGTGCACTGACGTGATCTTTTTCGCTCTATTTCTGTTACTTATATAATTTTTCAATAAAACAAAAAAACTTTATTCAGCATTCGAATTAAGATATATGATAAATAATGCTCAACTTTCTGTGAAATTTCGTATTTTAATGTTGCATACTAATTGAGAGTTAATATCTAATACTAGATTCACCTTGGAACTGCAAACCATGAGTTTTGAAAATATGTAAGATATGTTATAACCCCATACTAATCGGTGTTGTGCAATGCCAAATTAATCGGTAATTAGTTACTACTTGATTAAAGGATACCTTGCATTTTAATAAAAGGACATTGCCCACCACTTGAGATGATTTAAAAGTGATAAAAGTATGTTAAGACTCGTATTTCAACATCATTTACGTTTTAATTCTTCGCTTTAATTTCAGTGAATACCCTGTCATTTTTTAATCAGATAGACGGATGTAAGAATGTTAATCGTTTGCATCGTTTCTCTATCTGACCTTAATCATATCAGTTACTTGTGTGAGTACAGTTGCTCTGTCGCATAAATCGTTAGACGAAAATTGGTCCGTCTCATGCAATTGCATCGGGAAGTTAATTTAGATACACAAAGTAAAATAAGGAATATTTTCTAGGTGCAACTGTTCTTGTTCTCTTACTAATACGTAACTGAATCATCAGATCACAAAAGGGCTTGTTCGTTTTTAACCGGTTTTACCCCAGGATTTGGCTAGAACTACTCCTTATGAAGTTTTGTAAGTAAAATTTTAGGAGTCTAAATGTCTGCGTGATTTTATTTTTCGGGATTAATGTGTAAAATTCGAGGTGCAGCACGGCTGTCTCCTGATTTCCAGGATATTATTGCTTGTATTTCTGATAGTGTTGTTACCAACCGAGATAGCCACAAACGTAAACTGTCAGCGTAATCCCAATGATCTCTATCTACAGTATTAATGTAAGTCAGTGCGCATCCTTTGTTTTACAAGGGAAGTAGACCATACAAACAGTTAAACAGCTGGTGCGATTTATTTGCAACTAAAGCTGTCGGAAACTAAGTTTTTGTGGACTTGTGGGAAACATGCTGAAGGTTAGTTTAACCGCGTCAGACACTGAGGATATCTGACCTGTTCTTTATTCTGTTTGGTCCTCACAACATAGCTTAAAATATAAGCTTTCTCCATTTATGTGCATTCCGGACAGTTTATTTAAGATATAAAGATTCACATGATACCACTTCACTCATGTATTCAGGATATCCACTTACCCCGTGTATTTTATATGGATTTACTGAGGAAGCTTGTACAGTAGGGTTTTTAATGTAAGAACTTCAATAGTTTGACCTATTCTAACACGTTAACGGTACTAACCAAAAATTTGAATAGTTTGAGTGCAGTGGTAGAGGTTGTCGAGAAACAAAAGCATTATAGCTCAGTAACGGATTAGTTACAGCTGATAATTGGACTGATTTTGCTTCAGGACTCACCTGCGTCAACACCTGAACTAAGGATAGGGAGTGAAGTAGTCCAACGCGTTGACACTTATTATGGGAGTCTGATCAGCCCTATTGGGTTGGTGTCTGACGAAACCTCAGCACGGACTCGAAAAGCACGTTTGGCATTTGCCAACTTACGTCACCTATAGCGAAGGCGAAATGTCCGTCTATCAATAAAAGGACGAGTATACTGCGCGGCTGTTCGTTCTGTTTTACTTTACGGCTGCGATATATGGCCATTAAGAGTTGACCCGACCGAAGCTGCTACCTTGACGTGGTGGTCGGGCTTGCCTATCGTGATGACCCATCCGAGCTATATTGGCTGGAACATATGTTCCTGTAGGTTCTACCATGCCAGGCAGGTCGATTGGTGAACGGTAAGACTAAAAGCAGCAACTCAAAGTCTGAGGGCGAAGTCGTACTGCTGACTGTACAGAGGTGTGACAGCAGTAAGGTGTTTCCTTCGGACAATCAGCATGACAGCGATGCTGCCTTCCCACAAGGAGGGGTGGGGTTAGAAAAGGTCGACCCTAAAAATGTCACACCTCACGGATTTCCGTCTCCGGCGGTAAGGCCATCTGAAGAACGGAGCTAACACGTCAAAAACCTTCTACAAAAAGGCCGTGCGCGACCGGCCTCAAGCAGTTGTCCGTTGGGCTCTGCGGTCACGCTCCCAGGTCGTTAAGACCAACACTAATCCAATTTCCTTTTCAGGTTCCTCAAGAAATACCCTTCCACGGTGTGGGCAGCCGAGAAGTGACATCAGCCCTCATACCCGTAATAGCACGCGAGACCAAGTTGGTCACATTCAAATCCTTCCTACACCTAATTCCTCTCTTATCTCCATGACTAACCCTCCTCACGTCTCTTTATCACCTCGCACCGCTAGGGCAAACGATTCGAGTACGTGGAACGCTATTCCTCGTCTCCTGAAACCACGCTCTAAACTACACGTAGAAGCTTTTAACGTATGAACACTGTGCCAAATAGGACAGCAGGCTTCCTTAGCTAGGACTTTAGAATCTCGCGCCATCGATGTGTGTTGCGTCTCCGAAACGCGCATACAGGATCCGAGTAGCGTCATTCATTTGACCTCACCATGCCAAAATAAAGAACCGACTGGATTTACGCTTCGTGTATCTGGAAGCCCTGATTCTGCTTCCCGTGGCCTCACCGGCGTAGGTATAGCATTGAGTCCTAGGGCAGAACTAGCTCTCTTAGAGTGGATCCCAGTAGACAGTCGTTTGTGCGCTGTCCGACTGAACGGAACAGTAAGAATCCGGAAAGATAGGGACACTCGTCGTTGCCTCTTCGTCGTCTCTGCCTATTCTCCCACTGACTGCAGCTCAGATGATGTAAAAGATGAGTTTTACAGAAAGCTTTCGGACCTTCTCCGAAAAGCTAAGCGCTCGGATGTAGTAATAGTGGCCGGTGACTTTAATGCTCAAGTAGGTAAACTAAGCGATAGGGAAAGACACCTGGGTGGATCTTATAGTATCGTGGCTCAAAGAACAGATAATGGCGACCGTCTGTTGCAGCTATGCTCAGATAACCGCCTGTTCCTTGCAAATACTAACTTTAAGCATAAGGAAAAACATCTTTCAACATGGCGACCCCCTAATTCGTCCCAACGTTGGACCCAAATAGATCACATCGCTATCAGCCACCGATGGAGGGGCTCGATAGAAGACTGTCGCTCATTCTGGAGCACATGCCTAGATTCAGATCATGCTCTAGTACGAGCGCGTATTTGCTTGCGTCTTACTGGACGTAGGAAAAACGCTGCAAGGAAACCTCTTAGGGGCCTACTTAATGATAGTCAAGCTAAGAGTATATTTCAGGAACAACTAGGAAAACAGTTAGGCAGCCATGTATGTGATGCCCACCCCGAGGCAGCATGGAATGATATCCGAAAAGCTGTGGAAACAGCAGTGATATCTGTTAGTAAGGTAAACCACAAGGTTAGAGAGCAACACTGGATCTCAGCAGCATCTATCGCACTGATAGATGCTCGGAAACTCATTCCACCTGGCTCTGAACATAGTGAAGAGCGGAGTCGGCTTAAGCGCAAACTGACAAGAAGTCTACGCAATGATCGCGAACAGTGGTGGGTAGCGAAAGCAAGAGAGATGGAAAAGGCAACGGCAATAGGTAATAGCAGACAATTGTTTAGACTCGTTAAGGAAACCGGAATTAGGAACCCGACTGTTAGCGAAACAATCTCAGAGAAAGATGGACATATTATACATTCTCAATCCAGGAGATTGGATCGATGGGCAGAACACTTTAGGGATCAGTTCAACTGGCCTTCAGCCACACTTCGGTTTCCCACGATCTCCAGTCAACCTGAATGTCAAGTTAATGTAGGTTCTTCATCTCTTTACGAATTTGAAAAAGCCATAGGAAATCTGAAACGAGGGAGAGCAGCAGGCCCTGACAGGTTTACTCCTAAGATTTTTAAGGATGGTGGTCCAGTATTAGCAATGAGATTAACGGAGGTCTTAGGTAGAATTTGGGAACTGGACGTAATCCCATCTGACTGGTCTCAATCACTGATTGTGCCAGTTTTTAAGAAAGGGCAAAAGTCCTCTTGTGACAATCACAGAGGAATCAGTTTGACTAATATAGTGTCTAAAATATTAGCTTCAATAATACTTCGACGCCTAATCAAAGCTCGTGAAGAGCAAACTAGAGAAAACCAGGCCGGTTTTCGACCTGGACGTGGTTGTATAGATCAGATATTCACACTACGTCAGGTCCTAGAACATAGGCACACATTCAGACGCCCCACAATGGTAGTATTTCTCGACCTTAAGGCGGCATTCGACTCTGTTGACCGTGAGGTTCTATGGCAGTGTTTGTCACTGAAAGGAGTACCAAAGAAGTACATTGACCTTATTCAGGCCCTCTACTCGAACACAACTGGTAGAGTGAGAGCTTATGGCGAACTGTCATCAGAATTGATTACCTCAAGTGGTGTTCGTCAGGGCTGTCCACTCTCCCCATTCTTGTTCAACTTTGTGGTCGACGTACTTTTAGAGATAACACTCTCCTCATCTAAATTTCCGGGGGTTGAACTTCTACCGGGAGGTTCACTTGTTGACTTAGAATATGCCGATGACATAGTTTTATTTGGTGAACACGCTGACAAAATGCAGAGTCTTCTGACCACTCTAAGCAACAATGCAAGCATGTTCGGGATGCGATTCTCTCCCTCGAAATGCAAAATGTTGCTTCAGGATTGGGTTACATCGACACCCAAACTAGTGATAGGGAGTGAAGTAATTGAGTGTGTCGACTGCTTCACTTATTTTGGAAGTCTCATCAGCCCTTGTGGTCTGGTGTGTGACGAAATCTCAGCACGGATACAGAAGGCTCGACTAGCTTTTGCCAACTTGCGTCATTTATGGCGTAGGCGAAATATCCGTCTACC